CACACTGCGATGCTAATCCACGTCGACGATAAATGCTCGACGCGCACGTGTGCGCGGTAATGGTCTACGTAGTAGTAGTGGAGACCGATCGTGACGTAACGTGATTCCGGGAAACACGATAAATTGTTTCTTCTGTTCAAAACCACACGGTAGTGGTGGCCCCGTCGTCCCCGTCGGCGGTCCGAAGCACGTGTTGCGTACGCCAAGTGTTTTCTTCTTTTTTTGTTTTTTTGGGCCGATTCGAGGATATGACGACCGTAATAATAGGTGCGCGTTCTCTCGAGACGGACCGGACACGTGGTGGTTAGTCGGACGCGCTTGTCATTTTAAAAGATGCGAAGTGTCTCGTGTTCTCTTCTTAAGAACGTATTGCCCATTGCTGCCTTATTTTCATTGGCGCACGTCACCCCTCGTCCGCAATCTTGCTTCAAGACGTAAGCAGTAATCACATTGACCATCCACGGTCGTTTATTAGAAGAATAATCGATCGTGGTAGGTCGATTTGCTTACTGCTTGAAGCAAGATTGGAGCCAAGGGGATTACTCTGAAATATAGTATTTATCAAGCAATATTACATTCTCATATATTTCTTTTACTATCTAACAAATGTTAATTTGAAACTGAAATTGAGGTAGACGTTTACATGCGTAGATCAATTTGCGATATCTTCGTAATTTCTCCTTTATTTTGACTCAAGGGCGATATATCCTTAAGGTGACGCGTATATATAATACTCTCTGGTAATTGCGTCCTGCGGCTTCGATTCTGCGAAACGCGAAGAAGAGCTCGTTCAGGCCGATGAGACGACGATTGGGAACGCGTGTCAAAACGACAGGACGTCGCTCGTCCTCGACTCGTGTTGGAAAACACGAACGCCGACGGAGGTCTGAATGAATGTCGGTGGAAAGACGAGGAGAAGGCGCGCGAGACGACGATGCTATCTGTAACGTGAGAAAATGGGGTTTCTCATTAACCGGTCTTGTTACGTGTAACGCGGCGCGTGTGAATGCACGCTCATTGTTACCGGAGAACACTGAACCGGTATCGAAGATATTAATAAATGGGTCGCGATCAGCCGGCCGATAGTTCTTGACGCCGGGGTATCGCTCCTCTATCGCATTCTCCGGGGATATTATTATCGGCGATGTGCATAATAACGGCTTGTATTATTATTGGATTATCGGCCGGTTACGAATAGAAGAAGAAGTCACACGTACGTCACTTTCGTCGGGGAACGTTGAACCGCCCGTCGCGGTGAAACTCGCCGAGATGGCTCGCGTATAATTGCCGCACGACGAATGGATCGACCGCGATGAAATTTAATAATGCAAAAGAGAAAGACGCGGAAAGTGAGAGAGATATATCTTTCTGCGTCGCGGAATTAATTTCTAGGGAAGCGGATGTGTCTCTCGCAACGCGGATTATAACGTAACTCGCTTATCGAGATCCAATTTTCCCGAGCGTAATGATTACATTATTCGTTTTATAAGTATGCTAATCGACGGACGAAAGCTCATTAGCGGTTGCGAACGCGATTCTCTCTTTCTCTCTCCATTTCGAGTGAACGCACGACAAACCGAATGTGTCGAAAGTCCCCTGTTGTTGCCTCGGAGGAGGTGAGCGAGACGGAGGAAAGGAATCCTTAGTGTGTACCGCTATAAACGCACCGACGCGGCCGCGGATACTATCGAGGTCTCTTAACGCGTGCATGCGTACCTAATGCGTACGGGGAATGCACGGGAGACGGGCGGATAATAAGATGCTTGCGAGAGAGGCGAGTAAACATTAGAAGCTGTGTGTTACATCGGGCAATTTTGAAATCCGACGAAGAATGAGGCCTTAATTGCTGCGTTACTCCCGCCGGTTTGCTACAACCGCCCGGTTTACGCCATTATCATTCCAGACACTCGTCTCGGCGCTTTGTTAAGCGGCTCGTTTCGAAATTGAAGCGAGCATCGCGGGCCGATTTCGTCTTATCTCGACGGCGGAACGATGAGATTCGTAACGTTAGGCGGGAACCCGCGGACCGAAAAATGCGAATTCGTGCACCGCGTCGGTGTTCGGCGATCTCGGGATTCTCACCGGCTTTAACTGTTTATTGATCGTTGCCGTCTCGCAGAGGGTCCTGTCATCACACCGCTTTGTTTCTTATTATATAATCGATAAGCTTTTCTCAATTTCCGGATGATATTGATTGATTACCAAGGCCCGGCTTCTCATTTTCTGGTTAACCCGTGGTTCAAACTTAAATTGATGATGAGGCAAAAGTCGTATTTTTCTACTCATGGTTAATCATTAAATTTATGATTTTGTAATGGTAATTTTTTTAAAACCTAATGATTAATTATGAGTGGAAAAGCAATTTTTACGTTATCGTCAAGCCTAAACAATAGATTAACCAGAAAATGAGAAACTCCAGCTTTAAAATGATGAAAAAGTTACGGGAAAATTGCAAATTGATCTACATCGCATTTAAAAGTAGCACCAAAAGTTTGACATTAATTCAAAATCTAGACCTAAGTCGGTGACCAGGGTTTTCGCACGCGAATTGGCGTAACCGTAAACATAAACACATAAATTTAGGCTGAAGGATCAATCAGGATATCGCTTTAGATTTATATACTCCTGAAACAGATAGAACCCCTCAACGGTAAATCTGATCGTACGCAGAAGTAACTAGGAAGAATTTGACTTGGAATCCTAATTACATCATCACACATACACACACACACAACTTTTCCATCCTCTTCTAAAGTACATAAAGATAAAACAATATCCTGATTGGTTCTTCAGTCCAAATTTACATCTTACGTATATGGTTGCGGCAATTCGTGTGCGAAAGCCCTTATTAAACTAATTAGAAAGTTTCAGCATTGTACGATCTTATATTGGTCTTATAAGCGCAATTCCACGAAACGATGGTCGATAGGAAGAGAATCGTTCGGGTTGATCCTCGTTAGATCCGCGCGTCTGATGCGCGCGCTATGTAAGGCGGGCGAGCAGACGGCGGGCAGTCGATCTAATGAATCGCTCGGTAAATTAATAAGGCACAATTTCACGGGAACATCCAATTAGTATGGGGAAATTAATTTGACGATGTAACACGCGCTCGCGGGAAAAGAAGACGAGAGAGCAAGAATTACTTTCACTGCGTACGACGCGGCTTACGCGACTGTTGCCCCCCCCCTCCCATCCCCCGAGTTTCCCTGCGAGATTCTGAGATTTTACACTTTCGTGAGCACTCCTGTCGACACTCATTAACGGGGATCTCGCGATGGATCGCAAGAAAGAAGCACAAAGCCGGGCGCGAAGCTCGAGCCTGCTCATTCTGCTTCTCGTGGCCGTTGCTATCGCAAACAACAGTTTTAGATAACCGCGCTAATTGCTCGCGATAAATGGCTCATATATCGCGTTCTCGCCTTGACACTGTCGTAGCCCCGCGCGAACTTTGATTTACAATCGATTATCTCCCTCGTTTTCGTCTCGGTATCGATTCTTGAAATCTGCAGTTTGAGTAGAAGTGCGGACGGTATCGTATTCGGAGGTTGCGATAAACGCCGAAGGAGAGACGAAAGTAAGAAGTCCGACGACGACAGTGCGATCGAGAGAGGACACAGAGGTGGAAAAAGCCCGCTCCGTGTTCATTAAGATGACGACGCTGGCGAAATGTCAGCGTCGTCGTAATAAGGCTCTCCCGACCCGCGAAGGAATTTATCCTTGCCACTAGAGAAGCACTCTCGTGTCGTGTATATCGCTCGCAATGAACGACGCCGACGTGTTAGTACCGAGCGGACATCGCTGTTTGCGCCGGGGATTAAAGAAGTATCCCAGTATCGATAAGAAATTGTGGGACGCGAGCAGCAGGTGGATACTGCAGTGGGATAACATAGTGAAGCATCCCGGCGCGAGGGCGAGAGGATGCCACTGCGATATCCATAAGCCACCGTGGCTGTACCCGGATCTAGGTACATAAATTCGTTTCACGAAGGAGGACGGTCACGTAGTTGCGACATACACGATGTAATAAAATAATGACGGATGTTTCTCGAGCTATCCCCGGACGTCCGTATTAATCTTCGCGTGAAACTCGAGTGAGATATTTAGGATTAGCCGGCCATGTTGATTTTTTCGGGGCTTCAATCTGTCGCACTGCGTGAGACCACTCGACATTGTCACCTTGTTACTTTCATTCTAATTCATATTTTTAAGTGCTTAATGCGGGAATTAGAAATACAGAATGTGATGTATATGTCAGGTCAAGAAAATTGTTTCGGTTTAAGTTAAACTTGTTATTATGAGAAAAGGAGTGTTTGCGGGAAAAAATTCTCAAATGGTTTTTTTGCAAGTGCGATTTAAGACAAATGTTTGTTCGTTGTGGTGGAATCTGATACGTACTTGAAGAAAAACAAAATGGTAGCCATGTAAAAGTTAGAATACCGAAAGAAAAACGTTTAGCAGTCTACAGTCAGATCGGAATATGGCGAGTTAGGGTTAAACTTGAAGTGTAGGTGTATTCATTGTGAACTTTAGGTATGGGGGTGATTAGATACGAGCTTTTCAGCAAGATTACAATTATCAATATGTCATATAAAATGATTGAACTGAAAAATTCTGGTTTACTTATTCTTTCGTTTACAATTTTATTTTTCCGAACGGTTGATTGTATAATTTTAAAGTTTTGAACAAAAAGAACCCTCGTTTTTCCCAAATTTTCCGCGGATTTTTTGGTTTCTTACCTTCTTTACGGAAAAAAAATGTGACAGATTTTACCCGAATACACGTGAATTTTTTTAAACGAATTTTTCTACCTTTGGGACAGAAGCCGAAAAAATCTGCAGAAAAGGAAAAAATTGGGATTTTTCCGAAGCTTTAAAATTATAGTTAATTTTTTTTCGGGAATTTCGTGTATTTTTTCAAGTTAGTGGTTTATTTTTGTGGACATGAGAAAGAAAGATGCGTATGATCCCGAACTGACGATTGCTTTTTCTCTTCTGTTTTAGTTGGCAAGGACAACGACGAGCCTGACAGAGCGGTGAGTGTAAAGTTTGACAGAGCGCTAGGAAGTTCAACGGGAGCTCACAGATCGGAAGAATGTTGGAAAACAATGTTGTGTTTGCAGAAGATCGCTAGGAGAAAATTGATCGTTTATTTGAAATTTCCGACGGCGAACTTTATTCCGAGTTTCAGGCGTCCTTTGTTTATTCAATTTTATCGTATATACGTTCGCACCGTTTTTATGGTTTGTCCGTTTCGTCTAAATTTCATCTATCTTATAACTGCGAGACAGAGATATTCGTGGTATTGTTGTCGCGGTTTTTGTCTGTCTCGGTTCCGTTACGTTTAAATTTGAGGAGCCGAACGAAACTTCCCCTCGTTAAATGCATGCGATTTCTACGTGTTGCAGGTCAAATCGGCTCCCGTTAAGAGGTTGAACATGCCGCCGAAAAGAGGTCAATTTGGGCCCGCCAAGACGCTATCTACATTAGGTATACCGCAAGTCTCACGATATCAATTCTTAATCAAATTACCGCGAATCACCAATCCGACATTAACATTTTATTCGAGAGCATGACATGTTGCAAAGGTAGTAACAATAAAAAGTGAATTCTCTTAGAGACTTCTCCAGTTGTGGTAGCTGTAAAATACTAGAAGAATTGTCGTAGAATTATCGCGTATATAAATGCAATAATTTTTTCAATAATTTTTACCACTTGTTGAGAGCGTTTTCTTACTAATTTATGAAACTCGGATTTTCATTTTCGGCTAGAGCATTAAAACTGGATGTCATTACTTCAATCGCATTCGAATGGCAACGCGTAGCACTTTGGTTGGTCTGTTCATGTAAATCGAAAGAGCTTTTCGTGCTCTAAACGGTTGTCCCGGCATATTTTACCTTCTCTCTCTCTCTCTCTCTTTCACACACACACACACACACGCGCGCGCCTGAAATGTATATGTGAGTGTCATGGCTCAGTGTCGACTAATGTCACAGAAGCACAACTCTCTGCAAAGCTAGGCACGTATGTGCGGGCAATACGCTTGAGTTTTAACCGCGGTGCGGCTTTACTTTTGCATCAATGTTAACAAACAAACTAAACACACATCACACACACACACACACACACGTCGAAAGACGAAAGACTCGCCAGCAAACGGTTAACGTGCGTTGACGTTTCGATGACGAGGATGATGCTAACTGTTCGCTTGCATGACAGCTCACCCTGGTGCTACTCCGTCCTCCACGGTCCCAAGGGCAGCGACCGTCAAAAGAGCTCTATCAGTAAGATCAGCAACAGGTATATCCAAGTCTACTATTGGCATTTAAGCGTTCTAAAGTAAAAACACCTCGGCGAATCTCAGGGAATCGAAGTGACTACCGACTCGAGATCATTCTACGCGAGCAAACATTGCACATAGCGAAGATCACGGCTGATCGCAGCAAAACACACATATATACACACACATACGTTCAATTTGTTTCCTTGTAGCTGGAATAGTGTACGCGAATGGAAGCCCTGCGCATCGTCATGTCAAATCATACGCTTCTCACCTTGCGACTCGATGTGTAGTCACACTACCAGTGCTTATTAATTATTCTTTGCAATCATCATGTTTATTATTTCGAGGCGTTTGCATTCCATTATTATTGTTCGGTGTATCGTGGGTACCGCTTGAGCGTTGTTCACAGCGATTGGTAGCCATTCGTGCGAGCTAGTCCCGGTAATCGCGTGAACGGACTCAAAGTATCGAGCATGATCAGTATTTTGTAGTTCCGAGGCATAATTATTATAATTCGACGCGCACACATAAATTTTCATATATATTCAAACTGATACATGTATATATATATATATGTATACACACATACAAACGAACGTGTTATCTTGCCCAGCGCAAGCCGGAGCTGTCGACGAAGAATGCTTCATCACTGCGTTCGAGGACGTGCCTACCGTCACGTTGTATTCGGCAAAGGACCTCGAGGAGCAAATGAAGATCATCAAGGATACAGTAGGCGATGACAAGAAAGACTGGAAACAGAGAATGGATAGTGTGAGTGTCTCGGGAGAAATCCTCCCCCTTCGTTTCGCCCAATTTTTCTCCTCATTTCTTCCTCGACCGACGATTCCCCCTCGTAACAGCCTTCTTTTGCCTTTGCAGATGAAGAAGTTAAGGGCCATTGTACTCGCAGGTGGCACTAACTACGAAAATTTCCACGAGTGCCTAAAGAGCGTACAGCGACCGTTCGAGCAGGCCTGCACCGACCTTAGATCCCAAGTGGCGAGAGAAGCATGTATTACTCTAGCCTATCTGAGTCAGAGCCTGAAGACCAAATTCGCCAGTTTTGGCGAGGCGGTTTTGCTCACGTTAATGAACCTCATACAGAACAGTGCCAAGGTGAGTTTCGCGGAATACTGATGTTCTCCGTTGAGGACGTAATTTAGACCCCGGCGATTATGTCGTCCAAATCGATCGTGCGGCTTTTTGCCCGCGACTCTCGACTACGGGAAATGCTTATATATTTCGTCAAGTGTGTCCCACGTGGAGTCCGTGTGTCAGTTTCTATCCGCGATCCCTGTAAAAGGTAAGAATTTAATTACCAACCGTTTTCCTCTTCGCGGCAACTAGGTCGTGGCGACAGCCGGCGCGGTGGCAGTTCGGTTTATCCTTCAAAATACCCACTGTAGTCGATACGTGCCTATTATTATATCGTGCGTGAGCAACAAGAGCAAAGACATTCGCCGGGCGTCCTGGGAGTATCTCGCATTGATTCTGCAGACCTGGCCTACGCAGATATTGCAAAAGCACGTGACGATATTGCCGGACGCGCTCAAGAAGGGCATCGCCGATTCCGACTCGGATGCGCGAGCTTTCGCCAGGAAGTGAGTGTGCCCTTTCGAATGCCTCTTAACCTTACCGAGATGATCGACGACGTTGGTTTAATCTTGTCGCTTTTTATAGATCATACTGGGCATTTAAAAATCACTTTCCAGAGCAGGCTGAGATACTACTTAATAACTTGGATGCGACATATAAACGCTCCTTGATGTCTCTCAGTAATAGCGGCAGTAGTAACAGCTTAAATATCGTGGCTAATGCGAGATCGTCGAGCGTTAGTCCACGTACGGCCAGACCCGTGATGAGCGCGGCAGGTAAGAGCGACGATCCCTTTCATACCGCGTGATTCTCCTAAAAGTAACCAGTAAGCCAAGCCGGTACTATAAGCCGATCTATTGAGAAAAGTCTACGTTGAATATGTAACACAGTGTGCGTCACTCGTGTTTCCTGCGATCCTAACATAAAGGACTTGTCTCACTCTGTTTTCATGCTGCTTTGCGACTTCTTCTATTTACGTTAAAACGTATGAAGGTAGTACGGAAAATTTGCATCAGACCATGGGCCAGCCACACGGCCCGCTCAGACGTACACCGTCCTTGCCTCGGTCTTATCGTCAGTCTGGTATCCCGATACTGCAAAGACCAACAGACAGTCACTGTAATTGTTCTGCAATCATTCGTTACGTCACACGCCAAGAAAAGATCGCTATGCACAATCGGAGTTGTCTCGCGTTGATCTCTCTTTTTGTCTCCTTTTTTCTCTCTTTCTTTCTGTCTCTCACATTGGTCGATAATAGATGTTGCGCGATGCCATTGTCGCGAAATTAATTTGCATCGTATCTTTGCAGACCGAGGAACACCAGGGGTTAGATCTACTAGTGCGATCGATTTGCAGGCTGCTCAAAGGGCGAAAGCTAGACTAATGTACGCTAATATGAGCAGGCAGAAAGCAGCCGCGGCAATTCGTGAGTAGCAGCGTCTTCATGTGAAAGTCGAATTCTCGTGTAGATTCGAGGGAAAACTATCGGAAACTAAACACGTGTCGGATAAAATGGTATATTGACTGATGTATCATTTTCACGTTGCAGCGCGTCCCAGTAAATCACCGGATCCCAATGCGGTCGCCAGTCCAGAAAGGGTCGCGAGGACCAGGACAAGAGTCTCGGGAGTTTCGCAATCTCAGCGTGAGTTTGACAACGTGGCGTATTTTCTACTTACGTGTAAAATCTACAAGAATTTGTATTGATAAATGTTGAAAAATTATTAAAATATACGTCAAATCAGAAGTCACTTGTTATAAAGTTCTACGTATTAGAGGTGTTCGATATATTCAAGGCTTAAAAACGATATAATTCAGCATTTGACGACGAAGTCCGAAGATTCGAAGTCGTATTATTCGAAAATTCAAAATATCGCAAGTATTAATAGAACTAATTTTGAAGAATACAACAAGATGCTATGAAATTAGAGAGCTTCGGTAATTTTTAATTTCAGAGTTTAATTAAACGAATAAGATACTTCTAGATATCTTCAGTTCAATTTTGAGATTTGTATTTACCTAGTTAAAAAAAGATTAATGAAGAAAGTCACAAATAATAAACAACAAATCTTATTAATTTTATTTTAAAATAAATGTAAATTTCGCCAAGATGTGTAACACAGCATAACGTAATGAAGAAAAAAATTATATTCTTACGATAGTAAATATTATTTACTATGCCTAAAAAACGGACACCCGTATTTTCCAGTTTCCGAAGCTTCGATTATTCAAACATACGAATATCCGAATGTTCGAATTTTCATCTTTCAAAATTTCATTGTTCGAATATATAACGCGTAGAAAATTAGAAATTTGAGACTTCGAATATAATTTCTACTGCATACGCTTGCACAATGCAAGCTTATTAGATATTTCGAAAACGGAACGGTACAAAGATTACTAAACTTCCTGTCACGCACTGTTGGTTCGAAAACTTCGGTATCACGTACATATATTCTAGTCTTACCTTTTATTTCACCAAACGCTAGAACCTCTCTTTAACGGGTCGACCGACTGTTTTTGCCAACAGCCAGCAGTAGATCGGGCTCCCCATCGTCTAGATTAAGTTATGCTACGTACAATCGCGAAGGCGAATCACTGATCGGCAGACCGAGGCGATTATCCGGACACGCTATTGGCAGCACGAGCAATAGTCGCGAGCCCAGCCCGCAGAGGTTCGGAATGGACAGAAGTTTCGCGAGCAAACTGAGGTACGTGCAAACGTTCGTTCGTCTTTTCGTCGCCAGTATTCCAGTCGATCCAAAAAAAAAAGAAACGTAACATCAATTACTCGAATTGACAGGGGCCGAAATCTGCATATGTCGCCTACGGATAGCAGCAGACCGCCAGTTATGGCGCAGAAGATGCTGCAAAAGTCGCGCGAGGCCGAGTCCGCTTTGGCAGACGCTCTGACGTTCGACAGTATGGACAACTACACCAGAATACCGGGAACTAAGGGTGATCACAGCGACGACAGCGAGAATAGCAGCATATGTTCGGAACGGAGCATAGACGGTTTCAGACGAGCTAGCGATGTAAGTGCAAATTCTTTTGCGGATCAAAGCTATAAATATTAAAAAAAAAAGAGAGAAAGAAAAAGCGTTCGTTGGCTTGGGCATTCGATCTCCTTCGTTACTTCAATCGAAGAATGGACGTGTGTCGCGTGTACAATGAAAAAAAAAACATCTTGTGCTTGTGTTAAAATTGGTCCTTATTAAGGGATTTTTAATTTTATTATTAAATTTGTAACAGACCTGTGTGTTGATTTGTTCACGTTATCTCAATATTATGTGTTGAACCGATATTCAACATGTGTAAGTGTTGAGATAACATATTTTGTATTTAAATGTCGGTTTACATATTACGGATGTTAATTTTACTGAATATTATTGGCGACATATCTTGTACGTTCAGATTTACAGATAAATTGTGCTAATTACTCTCAATAATGGTCGCCATATTAACTCTTAAGCGATACGAAATACGTGTTAAATACGCAAATTATTTACTGTGTACAGAATCGAAGTTAACTTAGTAAACGCGTGCCCGTGTGAATTCATTTCTCTTTCCATAAACTAACACACTAGCGTCGTTCACGAAGATGAGATATACTACATCACGCATATTGTCTCATGAATCATGCCGCATTAATATATAACGAACTTTTTACGCATGCCCTCACGTGATATTAATAAGTCTTTATCGCTTTTTACAATTAATTAGTTAATTGATTGGCGCTTCTACGATATCTAGGTTTCACCTCAGTACAGCATGCGAATTAATTAATCGCGCGCAGAGATCTCGAGATATCACAGATTTATTTCACGACTCGAAGTGAGAGACGGTTGATTTCCGTTGATGCGAAACCGACTCGTTTCACCGGTACTTATTATTTGCATATTCGAAATCGGCCTTTCGTTGAACGAGGAAAGAAGTGAGACAGAGAGAGGTGCGCGATGCGAAAAGCCCTCAGCACACACTGAGTATGACGATGTAGCTAATGCATGTTTGGTTTTCACTTTTGGTTTTGTTGCGGCGTATTTGTTTGGTTTGGACTAACGCGACACGCCGTTCTGTTCTCCATATCTCTCCATCGCCCATCTACCCACATTAGTCGTTCTCATGGAGTGGCTCGCAACCGAGACTATACCGTGATCTATGGGATCAGTCTATCCCGAAGGTTTGTTAAATTCTACTTTCTTTCGTATCTGCACATTGACGAGAAGTGACGTAGATGCATTTGTGAATTAGAATCCAAGCTACCGGAGATAGTCTGAATGAGCACACCGAGTGCGGCGAAATTGCATTTCGATATCTGCAAAACGTTTCATTTCGTGTGTCATACGCGTGTTCTGTCGAGAGAGAATATTTTCAAGTATATCAGCACACATATATGTATAGATATGTGTGTATGTATACGTCAAAGAGTGAATGAGAGGAAACACGCGGTGTCATCCCTTCCTCGTTTTACAGGACATCAAAGAGATCATTGAGAACTGTGCTCACAAGCACTGGGGAGACAGGAAAGAGGGTTTGGTGGGTCTGCAGCACTTCCTCAACACCGGCAATACACTGACCACCACAGAATTGCGCCGGGTTACGGATATTTTCACGAAAATGTTCATGGATTCTCACACGAAGGTGTTCAGCCTGTTCTTGGACACGCTGAACGAATTGCTGGTCACTCACAACGAGGATCTCGGCGACTGGCTTTACGTTCTGTGCGCGAGGCTTCTCAATAAGCTGGGCACCGATCTGTTGGGATCTATACAAGCAAAGATTCACAAAACGCTCGATGTTGTGAGGTGAGAATTCGCTGAATCGTTTCGATCGTCGCGTCTCGCCGTTCCTTGAGTATTGGTAATTCTGAAACAGAGCCGATTATTTTGTTCAGAGACTGTTTCCCGGGCCAACAGCTTCTACCGGCTGTGATGAGGTATCTGACAGATCCAACACAAACACCAAATTCTCGCGTGAAAGTAGCAGCATTGACTTTTATCACGCAGATCGCTGAGACGGCAGAGCCGTCCGCTCTGGGCAGTTCTGCAGCAACAGCGCTAGCACGGCTGCTCGACTGGTCGAATGACGTTAAAAGCCAAGACGTTAGGAGGCACGCGCAGAACGCTGTGATATCGCTTTACAATCTCAATACGCCTCAAGTTACTATGATACTCTCCGAATTGCCGAAGTATTACCAAGTATGTTGAGCGACACGTCCCGTTGACGTTTCTCAGCCGCAACGTCCGCTGTTTCCTTCCCGTTCTCTCTCTCTCTCTCTCTCGTGCGCTGAACCGGACGCTCTTTCTCATCAGGAAACGGCGTGGCCCCTGGTGCAAAATCACCTGAGGAAGTCGTCCGCATCGAGCAATCCGGCGTCGCCCGGCACACCGCCGCCCAGAGCGCAGAGTTCGCCAGCGCGAACGAAAGCGAAGAATGACAATAAGGCGGAGGGAAAGACTGAGATGGACGGAGGGGACGAGAACCTGGAGGAAGTGTACAAGTATGTCGCTATATTCCGCTCCTTTCGCGGCGTCTCGGATTCTCAGCGTCTGTCGTGATTCGGCGATGGCTTCATTAGCAGGTTCCTTTTACAGATCACTGCGACGCACAACCGCCGAGATCCAAAATTACGGCTTCGAACGCCTGGAGAGAGCCACTACCAGCAAAGACAGCGGGATCAGTAACATGGCAGACGTGGAGGAGAGAATGGAAGGCCTGACGTTGTCTAATTCGGTGAGTGGAAACTCAAAAGATAAACATCTAACGTTTCCTTTCAAATGGGACGACTTAAGAAAGCGGGTGGGGGACGGCTTGTTTCTATTCTGATACGATTCAAGGACGGGTCAGAAACGTTCTTTTCAGACTACTAAACAGCGTGTTAATAGAGATAAGTCGGACAGATCTAAATCTACTTCGAAGTATATACGCGAAATAATAACCGAACTTTGTCATCACAGGGCCGATCTTCGTCGGTCTCCTCACCGACCCAACGGGGACGATCTGTCAGTAACATAACGGTGAACGGGTCCAGCGATACGATAGCCGGCGATTTGATTCTACCTCAGGAAAATAACGGTTACAAAACGCATGGTGTGTAAGACTAGATTCCGTCTGATGAAAAACATTTCCACGTATGCGTCAAGGAAACTCGAATATCTTGTCTCAATATTGTCTGCAGGATCATCGCCCGACCCAATAAATAGACCGGAAATCGTGGATAACATGATCAAGACCTTGCAGTCGAAGATGACACAAACGTCAGAGAAAGTCACAGTTTTGCAGGAATTCCAATTGTACGTCCGCGAGAGCGACGCGTCGCATATTAAGCGAAACTTCAAGTACGTTCGACTAAAATTCCACGCACACACAGAGGCGGCCTCTCAGGTTCTGACAATTCATTAATAATCACACGTGGTTACAGGAAAGTGCTGAAAACTTTATTAGACAGCCTGTCTAACGACGGTAAGGTGATACAAGTGGAAGTACTTCAGACGCTAATCGACATGCTTAAATGCCCCGAATTGGTGGAGGATTTCTCCTTCTATCCCGAGTTGTTAATATTGAAAGTGATCTACTCCTATAAATCCGACGATCAAAAGGTCGATTCTTCCAGCGGTAGCGGCGGCAGATCTCCGGTGAGTTACCGCTTGTTAAATCCTTAAACGAGTCAACGCGAGTTTGCACGCGCTGTGCACTAAATGACGCTGCTTAAAACAGGTACATTGGAACGCCGAAAAGTGCGCGGCCACGATAGCCATGGTTCTCAAGCCGGAACAAATTATTCATCTGGTCTCGACCATAATCGCCACGGAACCGTATCCCTTGAATATGGGCGCGATAAAGATGCTGCATAAAGTAGTGGAGCATTGGGGTCGCGACGCGATAGAACCTCATCTTGCCAAGGTTATGCCGGGTCTTATCAAAGTGAGTTCAACCGAAATCTCTACGCTAATCCAATATTAACGAATTTATTCTAATAAAATGTTCACACGTATAAAAGACAAATTAGACGATGAACAATTTATTGTATGTAAAAATTACGCACGCTACAGAGACGATATATTCGTGTATTACGTAGGCGTACGACGACGCCGAGAGCGCTGTCCGGAAGAGCGCGGTGTTCTGTATGGTGGCGATCCACGTGGCGGTCGGCGAGGAGGTGCTGAAACCACACCTGAGCTGTCTGTACTCGAGCAAGCTGAAGCTCTTGAACATCTACATACAGCGCGCGCAGCAACAGGCGAACAGTCAACCGGCGAGTCCGCGCAGCAACAGTAAAAATTAACTAACATCCAATTCCACGACTCTCAGGGTCGCGATACTTAAGAGGTTCGCCCGTTTGGGCGCGCGGCATGAACGAATGCTTGTCAGCTTCCTCAGTAAGTCCAATCCGTGATTGTCGACGACGAAGAGGATGAAGTTGATGAGGTTTTAACAGTATAATTAAGAAGGTTTTGATACGATGGAGACTGAGAACTTTGACCGTGTGTGTACGTTTATTCGCGGCGGCGTACATACGAACGAGCGAGCGAATGAACGAACGAATCGCCGCTCGCGAGACGACAGTGATGTGTGCAGAACCGCGGGGAACCGCGTTTGTTAAGCTGGCAGTTCGTTCCGCGGCGTGTTGCGCGCGCGTTCATCAAGTTAATTCTTTCGAAGGGACCGGAGCAACAATTTATTACGTTGAAGTTGATTATCGCGAGCGGATTTCGACTCTATGACGAGTGTCATGCAAAAAGGTGACTTCAGTTGGCAAATGTGTCTGCGAATATCGTTCTGCGATACGCTCACGAAGCTCTATGGAATCAATCGTCCTCCGTTAACATTACGATTTTATTATTATTATTATTATTATTATTATTATTATTATTATTATTGTGTAATATTAATATGGCCCGTTTACAACACAGATCCGTCGATCCGCTTGATCTCGCGCTTATCTATTTTTTACCGGTGCGCTACGCATTATATTTATACATTGCATTACTTTCTTTTCTTTTTTTTCTTTTTTATTTTATCGATATTTTAATACGTTTCAATGTTTCTCTGTCTGTCAAACAACTTGAAACCTTCAGAAATATGAATCCTTCTCACGTGCAAATAGTCAAGCCGTCATTGTCACGCTCGTGCTCGCTCCTTCCGTTCGCGTCAAACACGCGTCAAACACGCGAGAACTAATCAGACGCTCGGGAAAAGTGGGACAATTCGAAAGCTGCGATAGCAAAACATTTCACGGATAGTTCATCCTTTTTTTTTTTACTTACAGATTATCACTATTATACTATACGTACTATGATTTAACATCTGCGTGTCTCACGGTATGGGGAGAGTTACAGTATTTAGAAAGTTTACAGTATTTTTCTTGACTAAGCGTATGATGAAACTTTTATTTATCATTTTGCAAGCAACAAATCGTCGCGAAACTCGCTTTTCCCCTCCGTATTGCTTCGTGCTTTGATCTTTTTTCTTTGTTAAAAGAGAGAGAGAGAGAGAGAGACACTGATGACGTTTGATAAAACTGCTTACGGTGAAGTGAACGATATAAGCCAAGAGAGAAGACAAGCGGTATGCAACATCACTGTCTCCGGGTAACAATGAGCCGATCGTCTCTCATTATAGTGCGCAACCGAAACGCTAAATCAATCACGCGAGCTCCCGTTGTGTATATGCTTGTTAACGGTTCGCGAGCGTTTACGTGTGCGCGTGTGCGCGGCGACACGTTGCGTCGCATCATCCGCAGCGGGTGGGAAACAGAGTGGGAAAGGAAAGTGTAATTTATTCGTTTGATATCTATGTGCTAGTCAGATTCCCAAGGACCGCACAATGACGTAAAAAGACTCAAACGGAATAGTCAGTTTTTTTTTTCCAAACCATGCATAGAGACACACACAAATAATACATACATACGAGAAGAAATATGTGAGAGAGAGAGAGAGAGAGAGAGAGAGAGAGAGAGAGAGAGAGAGAGTGAGAGAATGCAAGAAAAAATGAATCTGCTGCGTGAGAGAGAGAGAGAGAGAAATTAACGCGCGTTAAGAGAAGCAAGGCAGAATAATTAAAGTAGCGATGATTATAACGCGGAACGCGATCAGCTCGAGACTAACGTTTAACATTTAAACTATTCATCACGTTGCCAATAATCGAATGAACGCTAAATCAAAGCTAACGTAACGAGTTTAGTAACACTTTGTGCCATTGTCGTTTCTGTTTATAATTGTGTAAGGAAAATTATATGTAATACTATATATAGATCCATCCTTTGTCCTTTTCTTACTATACATTTAGTCGAGATACGATAAGGTTAATAAAATAATTTTACTATAAATTTGTCAAAGTGAATCATTGAAGTATTACGAGATATTGAGGGGGAAGAAGAAAAAAAGAAAGAAAAGAAATCGTCTCGGAGAAACGTTTGTTTGTTCGACGTAAGTATGTACGATGATGTTAAAGTGGAACGTGTTTCACGGGTTTTTCCCTCGATAAACATGCGTAAACTTGCGTTATAATATCTGATAGTACCTCGATAATTCACTTCAGCGTGATGACGCGGTGATCTACGTCTCGAACACACACACACACACACACACATAATACGGCCAAATAGTGCCAAAAAGAAAAAAAGAAAAAGAAAAAAAAAGAGGAATACCGGGTGAATATAGGATGAGAAGCAATCGGAGCGTTGAAAACGTTGAGGAAGAAAGAAAAGGAAAAAGAATGAGGAAACTTGGACGGACTGTGTATTTCTTTTACTTGGTGCCTTCGGCGTCGACGCGACGGGATTTGATTGAAGATTGTCTTTCAATGGTCATCGTTTAGGAACAATTTCGCAGATAGTATACAGGCAGAATCGAAAAGAGAGAAGAAGGAAGAGAGAAGGGAGAGAAAAGTGCGAGGGGAGTGTCTCTAACTGTTGCCGACGTCGTATAAATGAACAACTTTGCGCGATGAAAGAGAAGAAAATCTTATCGATCATTATCGTAGTGTAGCGAATTCTAAACGGACTCGATATTTCTCCCGGTCTGCGATTCCGATAGAATCTCGAAAGTACATTGTGCAAATGACTATTTATTCTACGCGCCATCCCATGTATCAACACCTGCTTTTGCGACACTTCGTCCGAAGTTTGAAAATTATATCGAGAAATGTCGAGAAAACCTATTTGAAAAGAAGAAAAAAACAAAGTTTAGAAGAACCTTCATTCGTGCGCGTCTAACAATCGACGTTCCGACGCGGAGCGTTGCGCCTTCTCAAGTCCGCCGAAAATCCGAACGCGTTGTCGAGAGAGAGAAAGAGACGGATCCCCGAAATTAAGTGTCAATCGCAGATCGAAGGGTTCCGCGCGGAAGAGCGGAGGAGAGCGAGTCCTCGGATAAGACCCACCTTCCGTTCTTCGGGCTGGGACTCTTCGATCTTCCAGTTCCGCAACTGCAGCTTCGGTTCGTCGACCCATTTTGATTTCACGTTTTCTTGAGGGTACGGCCTGATGTATACCCGCGATCGTGTATATATATATATATATATAGATATATATATATATATATATATATATATACACACATACATACATACTTATACGAGATATAAACGTAGAAACCTAATATGTGACAATTAATATACGGATTAAGTAGCTCACATCGTCACTGCCTGCAGCGTTGGTCGTGCTGAGGATAACACGAGGCTCTTGACACAGCCAGACTCTGCGTGGTGTGTGTCGCGATCGTTTCTAACGATGCTTGTTCTGTTAAGTTTTACGAGCATTATTACTGATATTATTATTAATTATTATTATTAATTATTATTATTAATTATTATTATTATTATACCGATTCTCGACTTGCGTTGTAACTGTGTCGATGCGTGTGTGATATACGTAAGAGAGGAAGAAGATACTTGTGTGTGTGTAAAACGGGAGCGCGTCACGTTGACGACGATCTTGTCCCGTTTTTTTTCACGTTAACCGGACCGCTCACCGAATAAGGAGAGAAGCTAAGGCTTTTTTTTTTTTTAGTAAGATTGATGCGACAGTTTTACGGTTTTGTGCGTTTCTCATTTTTAACGATTGTTAAACGTGTACCGAACTCTTCACGAGCATAACTTGACATATTTCGTCGTCGTCGTCGTTTTGAGCGCTCCACCGAGGCGCACTCGATCTGCACCCACTATGTTCACACCCGCCAAGTGCAATTTGCAATTTTATTCCGTACTTCGCTTTGTGCATAATTCGAGAGAGAGAGAGAGAGAGAGAGAGAGAGAGAGAGAGAGAGAGAGAGAAGTGTATTCTAGATCGGTGCGTCTCATCGTCTCGACGTGAAATTAATTCGACGCGCGATTGTCTGTTACTGATAGCTTCCACTTGTGTACAGAATTATATCGGCCGATAATTAAGTCCTGACAACTCGTACGATCCGCCCTGCGAAATTCGAGAAACGATTTCGCGTTTGGTATGCGCACGTTGCTGAGGGTTTACATGTAAATTTTTAATAGTTTTTAATCGTTCCTCTTTGGCAGGAGAAACTCGAGACTGTTGTTACGTCGGTTGAAAATCGAAACTCCCTTTCCGTTCTCGTGGATATATATCGTTGCGTTTTGATTGTAAGAAAGAAAAGTTACGGTTTGGTCGAGATTCATCGGATCAATCAACCAAAATTACGTCAAAAGGGCGTAATTCCGAGAATCCCATCTGCACAGGTGTCATGAGACAGGTATTATTAACCGATCTAAATTTAATGTTTTAAATAAATGTTAGTATAGTAAAAATTCGTGCGTTTTTATAGAGAAGGAAAAAAAAGTTAACCCCCTTTTGACTTGAATTTTTATGCTTCGAGCGGAAATTGATTCTTCGCGAAGTTAGGCCCTTTTGACGCGTCGGATGATCGTCCCTGAACTCGGGGGCCCCGCGGCGAGCGCCACGCTTGCCGTTCTGATAGCTCCGCTACTGATTTCGATGCGCATGCGCAACTTCGAATTTTAACCGTTTCCTTCCGAGTTGTCACAGTCAGTGGCATCAGCGCGTTCGCGGTATTTCGAACCTTCGTTTTGCGTGTGTCTTGACGCGTGCGAGGAGATTCTCGTTCGAGTTGCGGCGACACACATGTGAGTATTATTATTGTCCATCTCGTTAGCTGTACCAAATCGTCGGAGTGCGGCCGATATCACGATAACTACGACTCGATGTGTGTCGCAATGGGAAGATCCCGTTGAGTTTAACGGCCTCTTCGTGAAAACTACGTTGAGCGATTAATGAAATCGATTGCCACACCGAAGAAAAATTAGCCCGAGATCAAGATATTTTCATATTTAAATAAAAATATTGTTGGGAAATTTTTAGTCTCGATACGATCGAATTGAATTTGCATTGATGCCTGGATAACATAACGTCTAAAATCGAGACTTAAGACGTCTTAAAACTTTTCTGTTATCTGGGAAGTGTTATTTGCATTTACTTCAAGACTAAAAATCTAAGAATATTATAACATTCTTGTATATGAGAATATCTATTAGTGATTTAAGACTATTTTTTTTCCTGGTGATTTTTCGTTAATCGACCGTAAATTCTGAACGATCGACCAAGAATGTATTGCGTCGATTATTGCTCCGATCGATTATTTCGCATGGCGGATTCCCGAGCTCGCGCGTCGTTTCTCGTCACGTCTGTGTCGCATCGAGATGGCTCAGGAGCGCCGGGTGTCTTTTCAATTGCGCGTTCTTCCACGAATTCTGACAAATTCGAGGTTTCATTCTCGTCTCGTTTTCGCTCAGGAGGTACCCGGTACAAACTGACTGGCCGATATCCGAAGTATTGAAAGTACACCCGGCAATTTCGGCGGGGGCATTTTGCATCAGCGACGCGCTCGTAAACATATATTTGTTGCACCTCCCCGCTGCCCCCTCCCGCCCTTTTTCCCGAGAAATATATACAAAGTATCCCCCATTTTCACGCGTCGAACCTCTTTCCTTTCCCCTTATTTCCGAGAGGTAAAGAAAACGCGTGTAATGAGCTTGGCGAAAAGACGCGACAGAGAAGGAGAGAGAGAGAATGAAAGAGAGTGAGAGAGAGAGAGAGAGAGAGAGAGAGAGAGAGAAATTATACTAGAAAGGAGAAACAAACGGACTCTACCGAGATTTTTTCACACCGATAAATCGTAAACAACTTTGCGACGATATTACTGTATTGTTACTGTAATTGCCAACTTGACATAATAAAGTATTGCTACAAGATGCCGGGTTGTTACTGCTCCCCGCATTTCCGTTTGCAAATGCGAGTCGTGCGTTTTTTTTTCTTTCCTTTTCAATTGAACATCGGGACCGTCACGATAGAGTTTGGCAATTGCAATAGCGATCTCCGTCTTTCTTCGCTCACTAGTTGACTTGAAACTTATCAGGAACACTTGCGATAATCTTCCGAGGAAATAAACGTTTGGTCTCAATCGCATTCGATCTCCTTAATTACTCCTGCATCTTTATGGTAGTTTATTCACGGGAAGAATTAGCATAATTTTTATATTTTCATTCCAGTTTAGCTTATACATGATACCTTATGTTTGTTGTTATTATTATTATTATTATTATTACATTAGGATTTCTAACTACTCGCTGTGATTGTCCTTGTTTAATGACGTCAGAAGTGAGAAAACATACCAAGAAAATAGTAGCCAAGTAAATATAAAAATAGTCGTAAAATTAATATTGACAAATTCATAAAAAAAAGAGGTTAAAAAGGAAAGTTCCATGTCAAATTAATTTTGCGATTATTTATTGATTATTCGAATAAAGGAAAAGTTTTCGTCTATTTTTACAAGTGTGCTGTATCCTTCACAAATATCATTTTGTGGATGTATCTCTTTATTTCTTTGAGAAATGTTAGACAAATCAGTATTATTTGAATATTCATCGATCCAATGATAATTGGGCTATAATTCTCAGGTGACTTTACCATTGGCCACGTTCGTTAGAACGTTTATTTCGCACCTGTTGGAAGTTTTCTGAGCTAAGATTGAATTATTCTTTTACATCTAAAAGAATAACCCAGTTATAATACAAAAAACTTCCAACGGAGTTGTGAAATAAACATTCTGAGCGAGGCCATTGATAACGCTCTTCATCTTTCCGTCTTCGACTAAATTCGAATCGAGGAGGTATTTTATATTATAAATACTTTATTAAAATTCAATATAGCTTTACAATGGCATCGTGTATATCGTGGTAGAAGCTTTATATACAACGATATCGATATAAATATTACTTTTACCGCTCATCTCCGCGTATGTGTGAAGAAGAGAGGCTTCGAAACTCGGATAGAAAGTGGCACTGTAACACTGTTGCAATGTAACCGTCCAAACCTCTTAAAGCCCCTATCAAACCAGATATCGGAAATTGAGGATTGCGTGTTGAAGATTGGAGCTTAACTAACCGAGACAAAGCGAGTCAAGATCCAAATTGGTCGACCCGTCGAATTCGCATCTCTGATCCACAATCTTCGGTTCTTGATATCTGTAGTCTGATAGCGATTCAATGAAAGAATCAGTTCGCCGGTCTGAAATCGGCGAAACCTTTTCGAGTCGCTCTCTTCACGGAAAAAAAAAACAGGGGAGACACTTTCCGCTACGACTATCACGATGTAATACTCCAGATAAATTGTATAAGATAAATTGATCTCGTCCGTTTGCAAAAAAAAAAAGAAAAAAAAAGAAGTAACGGTATCACATGTGATAAAAGTACATGTTAAGCTAATGGCCGGTTTCATCGAGCTTACTCAGCTGAATCGTTCCTTTTTTTTTACCACGCTCCATCTACAAACGGACGAACAATTGATCGAGCTACTACGGACAGAGATTAAATTTTTCAGCAGTTGCGCGTTTAGTTTTCAGAATTAATTCGATGTCGATGAAACCGGACATTAATCAAAAGGCGGACGAATCAACCGCCCGCCCTTCCTCCCTACTTCCTTCGCGAAAGCGCGACGAACGGCATCGAGTCGCCAGCACGAGATGAGAGAGAATCGTGTGGAAGCTTCATTCATTCGTTGTAACTTATGTAATTTATACGGATCCGCACCCGCACACACACACACACACACACACACACACACACACACACATATATGTGTGTATATATATATGCGTATATACGGCGTGCTTGATTTCAACATATAAAAATATTCGGCTCGGTCGATCGTTCTCGCCTCGTCCGATCGAGTCGACGATTTGATTGGCCGTTCGTCGTGGATCTTCACGCATCGCGCAGCTCGTTTAGACAGAGCGATCCGCAAATGCACAGAGTTGTAATCGTTATATATCCCTACGTGACCATCAACTTAATTAAATATCGAACGCGTATTTAATTAGTCGCGCGCGAATAGATCTTACGTTACGCTGCCGTTGGTCCTCGCTCGGCAGTAACCGCGGAAATATCGACAGTTTATGCGTTTTACAGCGAGCTTACGTCGCATTTGCGACCGTGTTGTGCGAACTTTACAACAATAACAAGTATTAACAACAATATAACAGCAGTGACGATCGGTTGCATCGAGTTACGCGAACGGGCACGACTCGCTTGCGACCGTGCGTCTCGCCCCGTCTAAAACAAGCTTCTGATCCGCTAAATTAAGTATCCCCTGTGAGTGGTTTATCGAGTGTGTATGTGTGTATATATGTGTGTCTGCCTATTCGTGTTAAGTAAACGACGCCACGTGCGGATAGAGACGAGAGATCCAGTCGAGCGAATCAATTAACGGTTTACACTACGTATTACGGTTACGCGAATTTGTTCGATCACAGTGAAGGCTTGCGCCGACTTTGATCTTGAAAGAGGAATGCTCGGGATGCCTGGCAGACTATGTCGCGAATCGATGATCGGTATGCTTCGGTGTAATTCACACACACACATACACTTACACTTCTCGTAAAAGAAATACTACGCACTTTTGTTGTACGAGTCGTCGCGCGTTTGCGAAGCCTTCTCTCTTTCCCTTTTGCTTCAAACTTCTAAAGAGCCTTCGAAAAATGATGCGCGACCAAGTAGTCGAGACAATCGTGTCGTGTTCAGAGAGGAAAAAGAGAGAGAGAGAGAGAAAGAGAGAGAGAATCTTTATCATGAGTCGCGTGTGATCCATGACTATTGCGATAATGACGAACGCGCTATCAGATCAGCATCTAATATTGTAATGACGACCCTCGCGCGAATCCCTTGCAAAGAGGAAAACATTACAGGCACTATACTTGAACACACATATATACATGTATATTTTACCGCAAGTTGTAAGTTAATTTCGCGGTTTCTCCGCGCGACATACACGTATCTCTCTCCCTCTCTCTTTCCTTTTATTTCTCTCTGTTACCTTTTTTTTTTTCATAACGTTTTTCTCGTAATGTTATATGCGTTTCTAGTATAGTGCTAACTGCGCTTCAGTCCGGGCTAAACATGGAAATAACGGGCAAATTTCATTATTTCTTCCGTTTTTATGCGCACACGACCGAGTACTCGAGCTTAATTCCGTCCGGTTACTCACTTATTGGCTCTCCGATACGACATCTCTTTTCTCGCTCGCCGATTGCTGCGTCAGTCGCGATTTTCACATCGAACATCGAACTCTACTGATTCTACCGTTTAATATCAGAACGATCGGCATTTCGCGCGAATACATAGTGTGTGGTTGCGAAATTCGCCGTGTAGAAGAATCGAGGCTAACTGGATATTTGTTTCCCTAGAAACCGCTCGAACTAAGCGTTCGTGTGAGATTCGCACGGTTTCGGCGGTGAAAACAAGTGGACGTTCTTAAGCGTTCTGCACGATTCGCGGATTAAGCGGCTCGGTCGCGGACGATTTCGTCTTCTGGTGAGACCGCTTCTCGGTACACCGGTTTTTGCTCTTCTTCTTCGCCCCCAGTGCCAGGAAATTGTTGTGAAAGTACTCCTCGATCTCCGACAACTTCTTCCCGTGCGTCTCCGGCAGGAGTAACCACACGAAAATAGCCGCCCCCACGGAGACAGCGGCGAAAAACCATTGGACGGCGTAGGACCCTAGAATGTGTGATTCCTTTTTAGACTCGCTGAGAGAGAGAGAGAGAGAGAGAGAGAGAGACACGTGTAACTTTTCATTCTTTTATTCGAAATACCGATCGGAAATGCAGGAATGCAAAGCGATCGTCTGGACGACAGAAAAAATAACTGTGACAAAAAGAGGTGATAAAAAGCGAAAGGAAAAACGGCAGAAACAGCGGGAATATATATTTGCATGAAGATAGCGAAAACATGTCCATGAAATACAAAAATAGAATCGCTACCAAAATAGAATTGAATAGATCAAGATAGACGCAGTTGTGATAAGAAGGAGTGAAAAGTGAAATAGAAGTCTAACGTTGTCGTTGCATGTTTATCTAGAGATATCATAATTATGTGTGTTTCTTGTGTACTAGTACACGTATAATGTAGTGCTCAATTAACTCATGATTATCTGTTATACTTACTTTACCCGGCTCACCGGATGACTTTTATATTACTAACTACACACCGATGGAAGTCATTGAATCGCTACATCTGTGACGTAATCAGTAGTATAAAAGTCATCCAGGTTGGCCAGGACTGACGGTAGTAGATATTAGGGCTGTTAATCTTCGATCATTTTGAACTTGTGAAACTTCGGTAGGATCGAAGTATCGAATTTTGATAAGGCGAAACTTCGAAGGTTCGTTTTCAAAGGCCGTAATCTTCGAAACTTCGAAGAATACTATCTTGCGAATGCCGGAGACTAATGTCTACGTATATTTTACTCAAGAAATCTTATATAATATATTATATAATATTGAGAAATGTTGTAAATGAATGGATGTGCCAGACATTATATATTCAAAAATCTTACTATTCCAAAGCCTCGGAATTTCGATTTTTTCGAAATTCGAATAACGAACCATCGAAGCTTCGAATCTTCGGAGATTCGAAAGTCGAAGCCTTCGAAAGAAAACGCTAGGAGCCGTGACAGATACCGTACCTCCCAGGAAATTTTGCAAACTTCGGTAACTCTGCAGCGCGGCGAACATCAGCAAGTTCGCCATGGAGTAACTGATGGAATGGGCGATCCCGCGGATTTCGGTCGGGAACAATTCCGCCGTCATGGTCCAAGGAATCGTCAGCATCCCCACCATCGACGTGCACACGTAGAGCAGCAGACAGAGCACCGGTACCTGCGAGCATCGGAGTTGCGATTTTGCGCGTTTCCCCGCGTGAAAAGAAGAAATTCGCGGTGTTCGGCACCGTAATGAATCCTACAATTCCTCGACACTCACCCAGTAACCGCTACGATCGCCGTTTTTGATGTTCAGGGTAAAGTAGCCGGAAACGGTCATGCACACGGCCATGCCCAGAGATGATATTATGCACAACGCTCGCCTCTTATATCGCCTAAGCATCCAGGTGTTCACCATGGAGCACAGGAAACGCGTCACACCCACCAGAATCGACGCAATGTACTCGTCAACACCCGCGCCCACTTCCTGAGAATCACGAAAGGTTCATTTCAGAAAGATCGAGATCCGTAGACACGCGTAGAGATCGATCGGTCGCGAGGAAGTTAGGAAAAATCTATCACTAACTGCCTAATAAAGTCGAGCTTCCTATTCGATCGCGTGTCTGTTATTAATTTTCACAAGAGAGAAAGAAAGGAGAGTGACGCGTTCAAGTTCGGATGAACGGATAGAGAAATTTCCTCCTTCGTACCTGGAACCAGGTGACCGCGTAAAACAGCGTTATGTAAATTCCGGAAAATTGCTGGAACGAAAATAGAAGGAAGAGTATCGCCATGGGTTTCCATCCGGTCGGTTTCAGGAAGCCCCGCAATTTGTGGGACACGTTGCCGTGCTTGCTGCGCCGCTGTTCGTTCAATTTAATTTCGTTCTCCTTCATAATGGTGGTAAATTGCGTCTCGGCCACGGACATTTTGCCCTCCGACGTCTCGTTTTTGTAAAGCCTGCGGGCATCAGAGTCCGCTAATCGTTTATGTGTTGTGCAGGTTTTAAAAATAAACGGAGAAGTCGCGAGTGCTGGAGAATCTCGGTGGCTTATCTCGAGGAGGATCTCTATCGCGTCACAGACATTATCAGCGATCCTTCGAAGCCGTTTATTTACTCGCGTCTTTACTCTGTTATTCGGTTGTATTGTAACGGTTAGCACGGACACACGTTATCCCGCAAAATTAAGATCCTGAAACTTGAGAGGTGGGACAACATCTCGAAAAATTGGAATCCTGAAAATTGAACGGCAGGACAATATTTCCAAATACAACTTTCTCGAAATATTGAAAGCGATTGCCCCGAAAATTTAATATCGGGACAATTTCGCGAGATACTGGAAGAATATGAAGTAATCTCGAGCAAAGTCATGAACGATTTCTGGTATTCAGTTTTCGGGATGTTGTCCTACTTTTGGAATTCCGATATATTTTTCACGGGAATAAATATGTCTGTCGTAACGTTTAACCGTAAAACCGAGGCCGACATTAGGCCAGCCGTGTTCTCGTCATTAGTCATTTCCCGATTAAATTCACCTTCAAGACGGATTCTTATCGACAATCGGTTTATCTCGACACTGTAATAACAAATTTAATTTACCGTTCCAGCGATTTCTTGGCGTCGTCGATGCGTCCCTTCGAGACGAGCCATACCGGCGACTCCGGCACCCAGAGTTCCACCAGAACCACCGGTACAACCGCATAAATGATGCTGAGCCAAGCAACCAGCCGCCAGTCCAGGTAAGCGCCTTTCAAGTATGAGATTACCATTCCTAACGATGCCAGCGTTGGCGCGAAAGAGATCATAGAGCCACGCAATTCCGGCCTGGCTACTTCGGTGATGTAGACGATCGCCGGTGAAGTTGCTAGAGCGGTCGCCAGTCCGGCTAAAAGACGACCGACCAGTAGCATCGGCACGTTCGTCGAGAGAGCAATGAGGATCCAGCCCGCCACGCAGGGTATCGAGCCAATCTGCAGAGTTCTCAATCGACCGACCGTCTCCATCAGGAAGCCCCCGATGACAGCGCCGATTGGCGCGCATATGACGACCAAGCTGGCTGAAAGTCGGGATTTTATTTCTCCTCGAAATTTCTTTGAGTGAAATTCTATTGGGAAAGCAGAGTGACACCCTCGAAGTCGAGTGACTCTTCATTCATACGGAGTGAATTCTCTCGCTTTGAAATGTCGAGTGACGTGCGGTCGGCGTCATGCATGCTGTGCCATTCCTTAGACGGATAGTCACACGATTTTCAACCGTATACATAACGCAGAAAGCTAAGGCTGTATTCTGTCCACGTGCACTGACAACTGTCAGCAACGGTCGGATAGTTGTCGGTGGACGTGTACAGAATAGCATCCCTGAAAGTCGCAGGAGTAATTCTATTTACAATGGTAGGGTTATGTACAGAGAAAATAGTTTCTTTGGGTTGTTTGTTTGATAACAATTCAATACTATATATATATATATATATTATTTTGTTTGAATGAAAATACTGTTACGCTACAGTGAACCATGTTGTTTGATAGAAAAGAACAGTATTATTTAGGGAAAATTATTTATTTTTCAATAAGAAAAAAAATTTACTTCGTTATACACGGAGAAAAAAATTTTGCTGCAAACAGCAAATTGTTAATATAATGACAGCAAAAAAATTTGTTACACGGAAACATAATTTTGCTGTTGTAATAAAACGCCGCGATATTGATAAAATTTCGTTGGCGTAACTAAAAATGAACACTTAATAAATCGTTTTGCTGTCGATAGATTAACAAACCTTTGCTGCTCCGGCAAAATTGTTTTCTACGTATATATAAAATATTGTTCCATTAAAGTAAAAATAATAAAGCTTGGACATATAAACTAACTGTGGACTTTTCTCCACCACTGTATATGTGAAAGGCAGAAAATTGTGTAACATAGAATAATTTCAATCTAGAGAATGATGCAGCATATATGACGCCGACTATATTTCACTATCACAAAAACTTAAAATCCACTCTGGTCGAATGAAACATTCATTCGTGCGGATTACAAATCCACTTCAGGTTCGAGATAAACATTCACGCTCTTGTGATCTCGAGTGCCGGCAGCATTTTCACGATCGCTTCGACTGAATTTTCCCTCGTTTTGAGAGAAATTTCACTGCATGAAATTTTGAGAGTTTATTAGTTTTTACAAATATATATCTGTTTGTGAATTTTTCAATTTTGCGTGTAACAAAATTACACCATGATTACCAGAAAAAAAAAAATACCACCGTGATTACAAAAAAAAAAATTAAAAAATTAACAAAATTACGTGAAGCGACTGTTCGCTTAATTAACCGTTTGAGTACCACGCGTCTCTGCTGTTTCCCCGTCCAAACGTGCCAAGGAGCGCTTTTTCGCTTGTCTTATTCCCCATCCAGAAATGCCAAACGGTGCGATAGCGCTTGTCTTATTCTCCGATGATTGCATCCAAATGTTAGATTGCAATTAAAATTCGTTCTTTTATCAGTTGTCTCATTATTTCATTTTTACCTAAAACGGAATGGTAGCCGTAAAGTCGCGCATCGACAGAAGCCGAGCGTGTACCGGTTATCGGCTTCGCAGCCTAGAACGCTGGTACTTTTCGAGCGAAACAGAAGAAGCGCAAAATCGCTCCTTGGCACTCAAACGGTTAAATACGTACGTAAAACGAATTAACGTTTTCTGCGACAATCATCGGCGTTCGGTGACAAAATCGCGGCTGACTCATGGCAGGAAAGGTATCGTTCATTCGGATCACGCGCCCGCTAATAACAAGTCGTCCCCATCGCAGCGCATAGATCGCGACGGTGACGGCGAGCGAGCAGATTGGATTGCATAACGCCGGGATCTAATCAGAGCGCGAAAATCGATAGACCGAGTGTGTCATAAGAGCCGACACGCACCGTCCGGCGGGATCTCCCCTCTCGTATCACACACGTGGCGTGTCATCTGCTCGCGTGCAATTAATCAATTTAGGGAGGCAACGAGAACGAACGGCGACGTATCGACGATGATTGCGCAGGACGCTTAACGTTATCCACGTGACGCGCGTGCGCACTCTGCGCGCAAACATATCGCGACAAACATTACCATACGCGCGTGGGAATTTATCGATATCACGTGTTATCGCGATACCCCGAACTGTGCACAGCCCGACAAGAACGATAATGCGTCGAGTTTCCATGGAAATTCATCATTGATAGTTTCCGATATCGTCATCATTATCTTCTTCGCGGAACGTTTCTATATGCGCTCGGCGATATCGGCACGTGACATATCCGCGCGATCTCACCTATCCATGAAGTTTCTTCTTGTGTCGCGTGCATCTCCGAGTCTTCCTTCTCGAGGTGAGGAATGAGAGTCGCCGAGTATGCCATGCTGAGGCCCACCGCTATGTGGAAAGACGCTGCGATGATGCATGCGGTGATCTGCGAAGTACGAAGCGAGCTATGTACTTCCGCGTGATCGGCGTGGAAAAAAAAGCCTCACGAGAAACCCGTTATATTTCACTACGCCTATAGTTTCAAAGGTTCGTATTTTAATACCCGTTCGTTTGTAAAGCCCGTTTTTTTTCTTGCCAGATTTTTTCGCAGATTTCTCGAAAGTCGAGAAGTGGCGAAATCGAGCCAACGGCAATTTCTGTCGAATTATTAGGGGAGGAACGCGAAAAATGAAACATCGCTCGGTTTCTCGGAGGGACTCGGCGTTCCGTTGGGAAACTGGCTACTGCTGCGAAATAAAAGCAAACAGCCGTCCCGCGTGCGCGGGATAATGACCGTAATTCGTACCTCGCGGATAGCGTTTTTAAGGTTGGTCGGCTCGACGAATCCTTTGTTGAGGCTCCGGCTCGAGACGATCGCGTCTTTGAAACACTCTCGCTCATTCTCCTCGATGTTCTTCGAAGCCTCCCGCTCCACACTATAACAAAACGTTAACGTCGCGTCGAACGTGTCGCTGAATGGTAATCCTATCTTTTTGCCGCTCATAATTCGCACCTTTTTTCGGGATCGCTCGTGATTTACGGCGACCGTGCGCGTCTCGACGACGTGATCGGTGACCCCGCATGCCACGTTGATGCGAATATCGACGAGAGCTCTGTCGATGCTCATTTCGACTGCACAGTGACAGTTCATAAATATTTATCGTACCGGCCCTCGCCGTCTATAACGCGCTGTTGGCCTCGCGCAAGATTCGTGCTCCGGACACGCGGTGTGTCACTGATAATCTTAGAATTGGCCCCAATTAAATCCAGTTGTTATGCGTCTATTTATTATGAAAACGTATCAACTCACGCTCGATAGTTACTCGTCATGAATTTCTGTTTTAATTTTATTCATTTTTCGTCACAATATTTCGATTCAAACGCGCAAAACGCGGGGTTTCACTCTCGGAGCTACCCTGCGTTTCGCAATTTGACCTTTTCGGGAACTCGGACGACGTCATTCGTCCAGACGCGTAAAATTTTTCGCAAGATTCGAGCATGTTGATGAAAATATCACGAATATTATTGCAAACAAAGGAAGGAAGAAATATCGCCGTGTGATCGTACTTGTATCATTTGGAAATTAAATCATTTTCTGCCGGCCTTAATGAATTCGTCCCTGAAGAGTTTCGTAGTGCTCGACGCTTGAGTGAATTTTAAATCAACAAGGCGCCTCGTAGATACAATGGAGATATTCTCGTTTGCTAAGCCACGTTTTTTCGCAAACGTCGACTCCCAAATGAATTGAAAAAAATATACCGCTCGTATGAAGTCGCATTTACGATTTATAAACGGCACTTTATATTTATGGACTATCTCGTAATTGGAGACGTGAAACAAATGCATCGAAGTGTCGAAAATAAGCCCAATCGTGTTAAGTCGATGTGTTTATCGAATCCTGGCTTCCCGCAGTCCTTCCGCGAGTGTTCAGTTTTGCGAATTTATTGTATAAATCACGAAAAACTGTTTACGAAGTGTATCGATTTAATGTCACAATAGCATCTCTCTCAGTATCGTCATGTATCTGCGTAATACTAACCTGAATCGAGAGCTCTATTAGGATAATAATTGCAACATACAAACGTAACAGTTAATGTAAACGTTGCGGCATTTCGCAAACTAGTCGGGTGAGTAACTGAGAAAATATTGTCTCACATGCGGCGTAGAGATGCACACTTACGTAACGAATAGCTTTTACCGCCGATCGATTACAACATCATCGCCATAATTTGTTCTTTGCATTATTACGACAATATTAAATGTCGCATCTGTGCGTCAATTCGAAGAATAATAAGACCGATCGGCGTTCTCACTCGTTCGATTATTGTAAATATGAACACTGTTCTTATTTACTAAATGAGAACGATGTAAAACGAGTAATCTCCGGATGATTGTATCGAGTGACAATGATACCGTCTATTTCAATTATATTGCATATCGTGATTCATTATGCCTTTTGATAGTTTATCACGACGATTTATCGACAATATTGGGATTAACGAGCCTGCGAGCGTGTCACTTAGAGAAGAAATATTACGTGTTATGTCAATGGACGCGCGTTAATTGACCTATTAACACACAGTTTTTTTTCAAAATAATAATAATGATTTTTCGATAGATATCTCGTACACACAGAGAAAAGATTTCTGTGGATTTAATACAATTTTTTTAATTGAAATAAATTTGTTTTTTGAAATGGAGCAAACAAACGAAACAAACGAATGTTTGATTCAACAAACGAGATTGTTTGGTTTCTCAAACAATAAATATTTTTATGTGAAATAACATGTTTCTTTTGTGCTTTCATTCAAACATTACGATGATTGTGACAAGCAATACATTTGAAAAAAAAAATAACATTATGCTAGAAAAATATCAAAGAACTTCTTTTTATCTTTTAGTGGAATTTTTAGTGAATATTTATATTCATATTTTTTTATTTATATTTACATTATTTTTAATACATAATAAAATAATTTTTTTTTCTAAAAACCAAATATTATATATTTCTTTTCAATAATACTGTTTTTATATATGAAACAACATGATTTACTGCAGTGAAACATTTTCGTTCAAACAAAGTCAAACAAACAAGTATATTAAAGCCAAAGAAATCTTTTTCTGTATGACAATGATTTCTATATCGCAATTTTCCAAGACAATCGCATGTGCTTATATGTATGTGCAATATTTCAGAATGTTGTCTCCCTTTTCGGATTCCAGGATTGCAATTTTTTAGAAATTCGTCTCACTTTTCGAATTTTATTCTTTTCGTTCGGGGCATTGTGTATCTATTCACGACTGAAAGCGTCACGAATAACAGAAAATCTTGAACTTTGACCTCAATTGATAATTCAACAATTTATTCTTGCGCGGTCCTCGTTTTCGAGGCGAGCGGCCTCGGTTGTCGAGAAATCTAATCTGCGTCATTCGTTATTATAATAGCCTCTTATTTTCTCTCACAGCGTAAAACATTGTCAAGTATTCAAAATACTATAAGGTCGATATCACCGGGATCGGAGGTCGGCGTACGTTATTATTCAACAGCCATACGTTTCATCACCATTTTGTTTACATCGTGCTTCGCCGATGCCAAATCGAAAGACTGAAGACGTGAGGTTTCCACGTGATACATTACAGACTAATGCGGGCAAATTACCGAATCGGCCTTACATGCAAGCAACGTACGAAAAAATCAATCTACGATAAGACGATCAAAGGCGTTGGAAGTATTTTCGCGTTATAGGGGGAATCGAGAGAACTGGAAGTCACAAAACTTATCTCACGTAATAAGTAAAGAAAAAGATTCTTTTTCATAGTGCAACTTGCTTTATTATGTTGGTCGGATGTACAAAACGGCTTATAGCCAAAGCATTGTACATGATATTTACAAGAATTTTTTTCTTCAATTACATGCATGAGTAAATCTGTTCTCATCTCTCGTGTTAATGTTCTGTTAGTTTTAGGATTACTATTTCGCAATTTCCCTTTATTTGTAAGAAATATTATAATTTTTTGCTAATTTCTCCAGTACTTAATTCACTGTTAATAAATATATATAATTTTTTTAAGTCAACTTTATATATCACATTGTAATATCTCACTAATTTTAATAAAGTGTTAAAGGACCACGTTTAAACAAATTATACGTCTTATTCTTTTCTCTACAATGAAATGTCACATTTGCGCGACCCTGTTTACAATTAAATAACTTTTTTGTGCATAAATACATGTAAGATTAATCTTTTTCTTCTTTTATTCCTAAAGGATGTGGCTACATTATAATATACACAATATTACGAGATAATATTTGCATGTAACTTTTTCTCTCAATCAATATGTAAAAAATGCGACAACCAGACATGGTCTCTCCTACATTAGTCGCATCTCGACTTTGCGTTTGCTGAGATTAGACCTCCGCGACGATCCGCAGCGAGATTCGCGCGAGCGCATGAATAATGAGCGGTATCCGAGGGGCGCTTGACATTTCGCATGATTGACGGACGATTTCGCTTTCCGTCCGTTCGCAACCGATCATTATATACCTGAGCCCGCTGTAATTAGTCCGACGAGTGAGTACACTCGAGGTGTACTCAGTCGTGGGACTAATTACAACGTTCCCGCCTTGTGGCCGTTCAACTTTCTCGCGTCGCCGGGCGACGTGTCGTTGTCATTACCGGCGCATCCTCCGACACGCGAGTCCTTTCGCAAATCGCTTCTACCGGTCGAAGGACCGCCATGATCGTCCTGAGCTCGAGCCGCTAAAAGTAGTCGCGTTACTCGCGCTGCCGTAATTACACTGGGCACGTGCCCAACCTTGGCCCTCATTCAGCGAAGCACAATACTGGGCGTGCGTTTAATAGCGAGTCGGCGACACATTCAGAGGGGTCTTCGGTATTACTCTCGATCTATTTTCGGATCTTGTACTTTTCAGCGCGCGAAACTTCTCATGTCGCTCGGAAATAAAAGTAGGCAGAGGCACGGTGAATTTCAAAATAGTTCCGATACTTTCTTTCCACGCACTGCGGAACACGAACGACAGTCTGATGTGAATGAGAGAACTCGTTTTCGAAAAATAAGCTCTCTTTCACTGGACTCTCATCGGTTGTGTTCCAAACTGCATACAAACGAAGTGTTCGAACCATTTTGAAACTTTTTGTATATGAGAAGAATAGAGTATACAGGATGTGATAGGTCAGTCAGTATATTGAACCTTGAACTTCGAATTTTGAACCTGTCGCTACAACAGCTGCCATATATTTGTAGATTAGACCACTCTGAAGAAAAGAGTCTTTCACTATTTTGCAAATAACACGCAAAGTTTTGAGTTGTTGACTAAAGAAGCCTCTGTACGTGACCATTTTCAATAATTAATAACTCGAAATTTTGTGTGTTGTTTGCAAAATGGTAGAGGACTTTTTCGTTCGCCTCACTCCGTTCTACGCTTTCATGAAATTGTCTCTGTTGGACCAGGACACCGTACATCGCTTCCGTTCTTTTTATCGCTTCGATTGAAGCGCTGCACTGAGAAAAAAGTACTTAGAAATTTATTTGTAGGAGATACAAGATTTATTTTTCACACATCAATTATTTTTGTGAAATAAACCTTATATTTTCCACAAGTAAATTCTTAAATATTTTCTTCTCAGTGTGAGTACGATGAAATTCCTCAGATACGGAGATTGTCATTAGAGGACGATGGATTCGAACTGTCGACGTTTTTTCGCGATAAAACCGCGCATAGGCCTCAACTTCCTCTCTCATTTCGATCGTAGAAGCGAATTTTCTGTGCAACGATCACGCGAAACTTACATCATCGAGTCTCAAGCTAGCGTGCGCGGTGTGCTGTTTACGCGAAATGAAAATCCTGCAAAGACGAGAATTCACGATTGCTGAATGATTCGCGCAGCAACAAATCGTTTCTCGGGGATTTTTACGCGGTTTTTTTATTAGGACAAATTGTCGTGAAATCGACGGTCGTTCGCTTCTTCATTAGCGAAATTTGACAAGAGCACGACTCGTGGGTCTGTTGAACGAGAAAAAGAAAGAGAGAGAGAGAGAAAGAGATGTCTCGGGGCCTCGCGTACATAAATCACACGTGGACATTATTACGTCGTTCGAGAGATAATTCATCGGGAAGAGTGACGCGTCGTGCGTGAATTGAGGTCGAAGATTAATCGGCAAACAATTGCGCGATCAATTGTTCATTTGCAGACTGCCGTCTAGGGTACTACTTCAACAACTTGCCAATAAATATAAATAAAAGACAATATGACTGTAATTTTTAAGCCAATGACGGTTCCCTTGAAAGAAATGTTATTATTTACCGACCTTTTAATCTGCATTCAGTCGCTGGTCCAACACGGCCCAAACGCCGGGACCGAAACGCGATACGACCTCACTTTGTATTTACATTTCACATGTACCGAAAAGAGAATTTGGCAATAATTACCAAACATTTAGCGAAATAGTTTCAACTAAATAATTTGATTGGACCGAATCACTTGGTTGAAACTATTTCACTGAATATTTGGTAATTGTTGCTAAACTCCTTTTTTCAGTGTCACAATGTACGTAATGCAAAAAAATTAACGGTTGACTCTGATTTATCTCTGTCTTACCGCTCCTTATTTTCTCTGATTGAGTATCATTAAAATCGTTAGACCTTCATTGTTGTCGAGAGAAATCATGTGTCGATTATTCGTTACGTTGTCGCGTCTAATCCAACATCTAAACAATATATGGTAATGGAGGCAGAAATAGATGCGAGAACGTGTGGAAACGTGCCGAATTGTGACGCGTGATATGGTCGTATATTTTACAAGATCTATAACGAATCTTCGTCTCGTAGAACGATTCCGGTAACGTACAGTTTTAGCTTCAGAGCGATATCCCTCCTCCCATCGGCAATTTTATCGGTGACTTTGGCATAACGAGTCGAAACGTTTCAGGATGCAGTTGAGGGGGAAATGGAACGTGCCAGCGCAGATGGATCGCGATTCGACGACGCCGCGTCTCCGCTTGTTGCCAAATCGAAACACTTGGACTTCACGACGACGGTCCCTCGGGTAAGTGAAATCTCAAGCTTTCCGCCGGAGTGCCGCGCGTTTTTTCAACCGTTCATGTCGATTACGCGGTTCGATCAAACGGAGATTGTTTTGCGACATCGTGGTGGCTGATTACCGGTTCATGACTGGTACTTAAAGACACTTCGATCTCGGGATGTTACTTTGAGAGACTTGAAGAAAAAATTATTTCGACTGCGCACCTTCTTGAGTGAACGCACAGAGGGAACTTGTTCGAGGAACACCTTCGAGAATTTCTTCTGGATATGAATGCCTTGAGTGTCCTGAGGAATAGTCTGAAGGAAGGATCGGTGAGCGATACGGGGCAAATACTCGAGGATCTCTTTGTTCACCGTTCGCGAATGATCGAGCGTGAAAAGATTTTCGTCTCGGTAAAGAGCGCGAGAAAAAAGTCCGGCAAAACCAGTTGGAGGCTACGATAGATCGAGCCTTCTCAGGTAGACGAAGGATTGATCGGCGGACGGATGACGCTTGATGATCGCTGAATCGACAGCTGAATCCGTCTCGTTCGTCTTCCGAAAAGCCCCGCCATGTTCCTCGGCATTACGACGAGATCCGGAGTCGACGCCCGCTCGCGCGTAATCCGTAAATACCGTCAGGAGGAAGAAACTCGCGTTCATCTCGCCTCGATATTTGAAACGCTCGTATTATTTCACGAGAACGATGAGTGGCAAGAAGATCGACGGGTCGGAGACAAGAAAAGGGTAAAAAGCGCGAAAATTAATTTCACATCGCGCTATTCTCGTTACGGTCAATTTTTCGCGGTCTTCTTTTTACCGACGAGTTTTCTCGGTAACTCACCTCAATGAATAAGGATCCATTGTCCCTCTCGCTCGTTGGCCGCACCACTGTTAATCGACGGGCGTGTGTATTCCCTCTCTTCTTAATTAGTACTAATCAACCAAGCGTCTCCCTACGAGAGTGTATCTTCGTCAACTCTGCCCGACGCTGCACTTGCGGCCGGCCAACATTTTACAACCTGAAATCAAATCAAGTGGCTTCGGTATTATTGTTGTTGCAGAATTTTCACACAACATACACACATATATATATATCGCTCCAAAGATAATATGATAATTGTCTGATTATCATGCATTAAATCGCAACATCGTTGAAATACAAAGTTATGCACAGTTTGAGCGAGTTCGGGTAACGATCGCATGATAGTTAGATTAGATTCCCGAGAGTAACGAGCCGCGGTGCAAGTTAACGTTGCCACGTGTCTGTCTTATCCGCGACATTTTGAAATGAAACTATGTAATATCTTGGTCAGCGGTGCGCGACAATTTTGCGGTTAGCGCTGCGTGCAGCGACTTTCTCTGTCGGACGCAAAACCGATTTTTCTCCTTGCGCCGTTGTGCGTCTCGCGAAATGGGCGAGACGGGGCGCAGTGTGCACGCGTTTTCCAACAATTTCCCGGCGAAACTCTCACGCGTTGCTCCGACCGTCTCTCGCCTGCTCGAACATTCAGTTATTTTTCCAAATGTTTTGTCGACTTACCGTCGGGAAAGGGGAAACTAAAACCGGTGAGAGCAACACGATCTTGCGATTGATCCCCGTGATCGAAAACAAAGACTATCGAAGGTATAAGCAATCGAATACATATAGGGTGAACGTTCCAGTCAGACTTTGAGATCTTGTAGGAGATATAATTCTAAATAAAAAATTTCCCATAAATATGGGTCGGAAAACGCTTCTTTAAGAAGTTGGCGCTCAAAATGATCCTTTTTCAATATATTTCTGTAAATGTCTAGGAAAGTATTTCGATACTTTTTTAACAAAAAATATCGAAATCAAAGTTGCAGAAAATTAAGTTGTCTTTCAAATGAGACCAAAATATTTTCATTACATTTCACAGGTTTTGAGATAACTAGTTGTAAATGTACAAAAAAGGGGTTTTACTATTCTAAGAAACTAAACATTCTAAGAAATAAAACAACATTTTACGTTCCTGCATTGCGATAAGAAAGAGATTACATATAAACAAGAAGTTAACCAGAAAATGAGAAACAAGGCCATAATCAAAGAGAATTCCCACCGACGTAACTCCAAGCGCCCCGAGTAAACGAGCGTTCGCGTGATCGCCCGAATTGCTTGGATTTCAACGACTTCTGCACGCGTACGACTGCTATCAATTCAAGCGGCTCGTTTCTCCGGCTTCGATGGCTAACGATCTACGAGGTTCCAGGGGAATCCGACGTCGGCCGTCCCCCGTCGTCCGTTCGTTGCAACCGGCGATTTCATCTAAATTACTCGCGTGCGCGCACACGTTCGACTTTCATCTCGCGTGACTTACTTCCCTCCGGCGACTGTGAACGTTGATAAGCACCGAGAGAGATCATTAACCACCGAGCTTCTCTCTCTCCCTCCCCCTCTCTTTCTTTGTGCTCAAAAAATGTCATTGGCTGTAGAGAGATATCAAATGTCCCGGTGCATAAAAAAGTAGCAGTAACATAAAGAAGCTTGTAAGTCTCGTTACTATCTCGTTAACATTTGAACATTAAATTAGCAACCGAGACAATCGAGCAGCCGCTTGCGTGAGAAGCATGACGAGAAACGGACATTCGTCACGAGGTAATTAACGACGTTTAATGAGTTCGGTCATGTAGCCATTCTTGGCACCGGACTTATATAAGCCTGCACGGCGACTTTTGTTCCCAACGGGATTTGACGGGGAGGAGAGAACGAGAGAGGTAGAGACAAAAGTAATCCGGCGGTCTTTGTGCCGTGAATCGTTTACTTGGCCTGAACGGGAAAGCAAGGGACAGAGAGAGAGAGAGAGAGAGAGAAGAATCGCTCGTTCGAGGAAAATTTATGCGCGTCGCAAGGAGCGCTCGCGGCGGCTAACGTAACCGTCGCGCAAAACGATCCGTCTTATTGCAGGTGGCGGTTTCTCGGATATTAAAAAGGACGATAAAATTCTGCGGATTCCCGAGATAAGTGTCGTCGTGCACGCACACATACATTAATGCAACTTTCCTCCACGATTGAAAGACCTTCATCTAATACGCGGAGGATGGAGGACTCCGTGCGTGAAAGTGACGCTTTTGAGCCGTTTTTCTTGCTCTTTCTCTCTTTCTCACAACTACTTATTTACTGGTGATCTATCTTAAAGAGAGGAGTTGCTCTTTGGCAATCTGTCGCCTTTTATGTATTTTCCTATCTTTATATTTTTTATTTTGTATTTTGTATTCTCTGTTTCCCCTTATCGTATTTTTCATGTTATATTTTTTATCTAAAATTGTACTTGAAGAGAGAAGTTTTCCCAGTGCGCACAATAGATTCATCTATCTAATCATATTGAGTACAAAACATGACGAATTCGGAAGTAATCATCTGTATCGATAAAAAGGGAAATCAGGATTGATTTTCCTCGAGCTCACAATTGTCGTATCACGCTTTTATTGTTTCAAGCTAGCCTTTCCAAATCTCAGACAACGTTACGATGGTCAAGTGGAGTGTTGTTACTCGTCTGAGTATCGACTTTGTGTAAATCCGACTTAAATGACGCTGGTGCAATCGATCCTAAGTCATCCTATGAGGTTCTCATAATATCACCGAGCGACAGCGACGTCACGTCGCGACATAAAGGTTGTAAAAATAGTTTATTATGACGACGAGGCAAATTGCACAACGCTGTCGTGGCTCATCAATAATAAAGCGCGAACTCGACTCCGCGAGTCGAAACCGGTAAAGCAGCTCGATTTAAAATAATAATTTTAAAATGACAATTTTAAAGAGGACTCGTCGAATTGATTTGACAGTTCCCAAATAAATTTGACAATTTGCAGCGCGGCGTTCACGGCAATTAAAATAATTTAGATCGTACGTCGGTTTTTCCCCTTTCTTTTGCCATTTCCGCTATCCGCTACTCCGTTAAATTGCAGTTCCGCATGGGCGGGGATACGACAGTTTGACTCATTATCTGAAGAGCGAGTGCAAATAGTTTTTTTTGGATATTACAAGAGGCAAATATTAGTATACTTTTAATGGATCGATTAGGGTTATTGAAGAACTTAGAGTAGAACATCAGTAGAATTAAAGGAGCTAGGTTGCCTTTCTAACGAGCGTCGATCCGGGAATTCAGGCAGATATGAGTGGAGATACGGAGTTACGTCGAACGCATGGCATGCGTGTTTCGACGTATTGAATAATGGATTTGTAGAATTTTAAACAAAAATCTTATCTCAGTTATCTAATCTCATAGGTCGGAATGCCGTCTCGAATGACTCGTGTATATCCAGGCCTTTTATATTATCATCGATATTATTGGACGAGAGAAAATTTTACTCGGAAACATTACTTGACAAGTGGCCCGTTCACGTCACGAGACCCGATAAACACGTGTTACATCGTAGAAACCTTAGCTGGCGCGAGTTCAAAGACCGATTCGGTAGAGCCGACATCCTGGCGCGACTCGCTCCGCACGCTCCCCATGTTTACAAGACCGCGGAAGGATCGATCGATTCGGTGCGATCAACGCCCCGACCGACGTGTCGTCGTCGTTTCTCGAAGGACTGACGGTAAATAAGCCAACAAGTACGCGTGGGTCTCTCTCTCTCTTTGTTCTCGTCAGATCGCACTCTCTCCCTGCACTTCGTCTCCTTCCTCTTTCCCGCGGCCGAGTCGAAATCAAAGGTACGCTCGAGGTGTGCTCGGAAAATATCGAGCACACACACGTTAACCGGAAGAACGAGCGAGATTCACAGTAGCGGCGATCAAACCGGGGAAGTGATTACCAAGTCGATACCGCGACACGAGTGAGAAATCCTTCGCGATGTGACGGTAAACAAGAGGAAAGACGGCTGAAGGCTCAACGCTAACGCCTGACACTGAGGAAGAAACGACACTCGAGACCCTTCAAATCGAGGACACCATCGCTCGCAAACGTGTCGTTTTCACCTTGGGCGCTCGCATGTTGCTGTGAGGTTGTAACCGGGTGCACTTTGTGTAAAGCCCGACTTGACGAAACCGAGGAAAGGTACTTACGTTTCCAAGCCGCCTCTGTCTCGCTTCCTCAAATCGATCTCGTTGGGCGTTCACACGAAGGCACGAGAGCGAAGCCGGAAGTGAAGCGACCGCGAGGCCAAGGCAGAGCGGATCGTAGAGGAAGCTCTTTCCCCCTCTCTCTCTCTCTTTCTTCTTTCTCGTAGCGATCCTCGTTAACGGAAAGAGAGCAACGCGACTGAGACGCGCGACTCGCACGATCGACCGGCCGGCTCAACTCTCTCTCGTCGACGCGGCCGCTCGGCGCCGCGATCGGTAGACGACTGGCCGAGAGAGAGCCTGAAAAGCCTCCTCGCCTCCTTCTACGTCCGACCTGGCTCTCCGTGTGTGTAAACCGCCTATGTGCGTTACATACCGTGTTGCCCGACGTGGTCGATTTTAAGGGTTGCTAACACGTCGCTTCGCGCGCTCTCCTGCTCTCCACGCGCTCCACGCATTCATCGATTCTGCCGCGATCCAGCCTCGCCCGATTCGCGACGCGTCTCGTGAAATTCAGCTAAAGAGGGGGGGGGGGAGGATACTTTGTCGCCAGTGTGTGTGAAAATGCGGACGTAATGCTTCTATGCTGTAACGTTATTCGACGCTGCTATTGTCGCTGCACTTGGAGTCTCGGAGTCGCGCTGCGGATGTAGTCATGTAATCACCCTGAAATTCCTTTGCAAACTGAGAGAAAAAGAGAGTGAGAGAGAAGGGGGAAGGGGGGTGAGAGGATAAAAATCAAGATTATCCGTTCATCGGAAGATTTATATTTATGAGTAAATTTATAATTTACAATCGCGTTCTCTTCTTTATCTTCCAATATTTCTATCGCACAACAGCGGCGGAACCAAGTTCGTGTTTTATCAGCGCCCGATAAAAATTACGAAGCGCATCGTGAGGAAGACATACGTGTCCCATGCAACGCAGTTGTACCCGAAATCAACTCGTCTAGCTCGTAGATGGTTTCGTGACCACGGTTGTTGACCTGGAGAATATCAGGGCATCCGTGAAACGGGATCTCCGATCCACCCCGGCGGAGGGGAATCTCCGTGTCGCCGCGGTGTCTCCGGAAATTCTAGAAAATGTTTAACCTTCCTCGTGGTGGGAACGTTCAACGTTCAACTGTGTATTCGCGACTGAAGCTCGAATCTTGGCTCTAACAAAGTTTTATTCAAACGCGAGCAACGCGGTTTTATTATGTATCGATGGGAACTTAAGGTGAAGGAATTAACAGCTTTGAAGACTCAGAAAAAAACAGTTTTCTCCGATTTTTCCCCGGATTTTATCGGGTTTTTAATCTTCTTTATCTTCTTTTCCTTTCGAAAAAGTAAATGTGAGTTTTTCTAAAGGAATTTTTCTACTCTTGAGATAAGAATCGAAGACATCCACGAGAAGTGGAAGAAACTGGATTTTTTCCAAGCCTTCAAAATTGTAGGAAGAATCCAAGACAAAGGAACAAAGGAATTCTCGGGCATTCCTATAGGAATTTCGTCACGCAAATCAATCGATTTCTCAATCAATTTTCGCTGCTGTCGGAGCAACGAGCAAGATTACACAATAATTTGTCCGCAGTTTTCTAATTTCTCTAATTACAATCATAATGTAAAGGGTCAAAGATGTCTTCGATAACACAGGCCGACAAAATGAGACCGACCTCCTTACCCAGAAACCAGACTATACTTTCCCGAAGGTTTTCGGTGCACTAAGTTCAAATCTGGCCGCAGAATTGTTCTATCACATCAGGATTTTGAGATATTCTAACCTAAAAGTGCAAAAAATGCCGTTTTTGCCCACTTTTGCGGTTATGTATGCAAGCCAGAGTAATTTTTCTCAAAAAAGTAAAAAAAGGTATTAAAGTACAAGTCTTCCTCTTTCAAATGGCGTTGAGTTTGCTTAAATATCTTTTTGCTTCGCTGAGAAAAACGGCATTTTTTGCACTTTTAAGTTAGAATATCTCAAAATCCTGATGTGATAGAGCAATTCTGCGGCCAGATTTGAACTCAGTGCACCGAAAACCGGGAAAGTATAGTCTGGTTTCTGAGTAACAATTTTGTCGATCTGTCTAATCAATACGGAACTTTGGTTTCTTTAATCTGCTCATGATTACATTGCATTTGTTTTCCAAACCCTCTATCTTAATAATATAGACTTATCAACACGCCGTGAGGCTACGCACAATGCCATTATCGATCCATTAAAACTCCGATGATGACTAATGTTCGAAGTGTGTTAGCTTTGCTGCCAAGTGTTAACGTATTCAGCTGCTCTTACTACCATTATCCGTACCGCCGTTATTCTTAATCCGACACCTGAGACTTTGAGTGGTAAATAAAGAAGCGATAAAATAACAAGAAACTCTCTTTAGCTCTGCGTCAGCTCTGTGCGATCAGCAGGATGTCGCCATAGCCGACTGTTCCAAGATCCATTGTGCCGTACGTGAGAACAACATTGATGATGCCCCTAATTGAACTTAAGAGACGCAACGTATTACATAAGAATATAAAATTTATTATTTCGCACGACACATATTCTTTTACACGCGAGATAAACGATATCATACTTTCCGCCTACAAGTTAACGTGTTGAGTATTGCATTGATTTCCATTGATTGTACAAATGTCTAATTAATGATTAAATTATTGAATCTAAAGTAAATAAATTATATATATATATATATATATATATTTTTTTTTATATCTTTTACCTTCATTGGCTCTTTATCTGTCATACAACCTATTTTGTAGATGCAATTAATTATATTTTATACGTAATACTTAACAAAACATAATGACATCACAGTGTCGATCACCAGTGTTTCCCACGGCATTCAGCGTGTTAAATTTCGCCTGCTTTTGGACAAGGAATTTTTCACACGAGATCTCGAAAGGACAACTGGTAGTTGTCACAGGTTCAATCGCGATTCTTGACGTCAGCGTTACAACACAAAATACAATAACGTTTGAAACAATAAAACTTGAGAATTTATCGTATTAAATCATCACCACATGGCGTTTAAGGAATTTTACTTCCATTCGGTAACGTCTGAAGGCTCGTTTCTTTCGTTACGTGGCGCCTTGACATTTCTCGCTTTATGACTGAAAAAGTAAAGATATTCAGCAGAAACAAAGCGGAAAAAATAATTCCCATGCGTGAGACGTGATCGGTGATGCGACCCGGGAATTTTCTCGCATTCTGTCACGAGGATCGACCTGGTGTTTGTAATTTACAATCGTTTCTCGAGTTCAATTGTTCACTTGACCCGGCTTCATTGGCGCCGCGCGGATCCCTATTGCAACGGATCACGTTGAGATTAATGCGTTGAAACAAAACAATTTCCGACTTAATGAACGCCAACGACGCTTTATTGTCCGTCTAAGACCGGGCGGAAAATTATTTCTCCCGACGATATTCGACCACGTAATTAATTGAAGGAAGGAAAGTAAGGAGTGCAGAAAATATGCGAAGTATAACTGCTCCAATATCTTTTTCTTTGTTGTTAACAGCAGTATTCGTTTTTACGTATCTACCGTTGTTGTTGTGTCGCAAATTAATTTACTTATAAATTATCTGTGCAATTAAAAAATCATGTCCTAAGCCCTGCGACCTAATTTAATGTTTTAATATAATAACATTATAATTAATATAGTAATAACCGATACCATTTATTACCCCAATCATATTTATTATCATATATATGTTATTAAATAATATATATATTTTATATTATATTTACTTGTTTATTATTCTCGCATGTCCTTAATTAATTGCGCCACGGGCCCTACTTTATCGACATTTTACAGACGCGATAATAAATGCTGTCATCTGACCGCGTGTTACGCAATTAATCGTGTAAAACTGTGTAGCCTGCCTTTACTTGGCTCGGTAAGTAGGAGAGCTACATTTTCAGCCGGCCCCCGAGTTTCGAGAGCACCACGTTCAGGTTCTCTTACGTCGAGGCAAAATGGTGGTGTGGAGCAGCATTTGGCGTAAAACTGGTCAAAATTTGCTGCAAAGCAGCGGTTTCAGGGCGGCTTTAGTGAAGAACGGTGATTATACATGCGACTACGTGTCGAGTTCCGCCGTTAAACAAGTGCTTTTCTTTCTGTCAATGCGCTACCGTCCGAAACCAACGGTGTTTGGTTACGCAACCACCGTACAGTGTTTTGCACAGGCATGCGATTTCGTGTGTCCTGTGCGTGCGGTAGGATAAAGATCTTATATTTATGATTACAAATGTGTTCACTGCTAACAGCTGATAAGTTTGCGTCGGTTGACACGTAGAAATCTGTCGAAGCTCGGCCTCGCTGAGTCTCCGAGGATATCGATTTATACATGTACGTAACGATGTGAATCTCAGGCATTTTTCTGAGTTTCCCTGTCTTTGTAGAACTGGCAAGATGTATGTCGGAACATCGTGTAATGGTCATAAAGCCGAGTCGCTTCCAGTGGCACAAGACGAAAGATTATTTTCACTTTTATTTCCTGCTGGGCTTAATCCCTGTCTGCACCGGGATCTTTCTAGTTAATGTCTTTGTTGGACCTGCCACGCTTGAGGAGATCCCTGAGGGTTACATTCCCAAAGAATGGGAGTACCATCGGGTAAGGCATTAACGTTATTTCTCTTTGTGCTGTGAAGCCCAAATATTTTTGCAGATTATCAACAACACGTGTGATACATCTGCGAATCTCGACATTAAGAAATTTCTCTTACCGTCTCAGCATCCCATCAAGAGATTCCTCGCACGCTACTTCTTCCCGTCGCCGCAGGAGGAATACGAAAAATATTTGCACTACATATACCATGTGAACAAGGTGAAGGACGTTCGTCTTCTCGAGACGCGGATAAATAACTTTATGGCCAAGAATCGCGACTTTCGAGGACCCTACTTCAGGGAGTACTACGCCTCTAAGTATCTGTACTCGTACAGAAAGCACATGGACGAACAGGATGAGCTCGAATAAACAGTTGAAGGTGGAATCGATCATCACTTCTCTTTGTGAGAACTGTTTCTGATTAGGAAATATCGGGGTAAAAAAAAAGAGATTACTCGTCCGAGTGTAGATCATAATATATATTTTAGAATTCGATTAATTTACATTGCCGAGTAAAGCAAGCAGCTCCAAATCTCTGCCACTAAATATATATCGCATTGTACATATATATAGCTGACAAAATAAAGAGTTGGCGAGAAAAGTTTCTTTCGAAAACACGACACGCTGCGATATATATTTCACCTATGAGAGTTACATCTTACCGCTGCTGTTGATCACCTCGTCGCGCTCCTTCCCGGTAAGACGCATCGCGTAAGAGAGAGCAAATTCCGGTAAACTTGAGGATCACGTTAAATTCGTTATCATCGTGCTAAGCACGAGTCGTCGCAAATACACGTATATGCCTTGTTGATCAACGTGTGAGATTGTCGGCACAGTGCCTCTAAGCGAGAGGCACCTGCATGCGAGCAGGAAAATTGTTCAAATCGCTTCTCACAGCGGTTTCGCCGATGCCAATTTACGGTTAACCGCGACTATCAATAGCTTCCCTTCCGGATACGAATCGCGCCTTGTAACCGGAATTTGCAAGACAAGCAACACTGGGCCAGAGATGATCGGCATGGAACACAATTAACTATGTTTTCTTTAAATTATAATAAAAATAGTTAATTAAAATAGTTTGTTGAAAATGAGTGCCCGAAAGATCTGCGTAATCGACAAAGTTCGAGCGCGTGCATTTAACCACAAAGATCCTGCAGACGCTCTCAGCGTTATGTGCAAAAAAAGGATGGTACTTTTTCATACGTTGTCAAGTGTCCCAGACTAGGAAAAAAATAGTTGGTTAATCATTAGAGCCCGGAAGCCCACCGGTCGCTGTGAAGATAGCGCGCGTGCGAACATTCACACAAATTAAAATTCCTCCCGAGAGCTCCGGCGACTTGTGTAAACAAACGACAGTAGTTTTACACTTCGTGGAACGTTACGCGTTGGGAAGTAAATAGTTTGTTGAATACGAGTGAAGATCTCCGTAATCGACAAAGTTCGAGTGAGCGCGCTCAGCCACAAAAGATAACAATTCTGCAGACGCTCTCAGCGTTGTGTGCAAGCGAAAGAAAAATTTGGTTAAAGTATAAAAGTGCTATCCTAACTAGTCTTGGTAGGAATTTTAATTTATATAAATGTTTCGCGCACGCACGCAATCTTTTCCGTTCTTCTCGTTTATGTACGTTAATTTTGCATAATTTTATGGTTTTTTGCATTTTTTTTTTAACGACGTTAAACTTGCAGGAAACATTTTTAAAATTTTCCCTCGGAGATCGCTCGAAACTCTCAATCACTTGTCAGAAATGCGTGTCGATAATTATGCCGATAGCCCGTCAGTTTTGCAGCGGAGCATCTTGTCGATCGATCGAGGACCTTGCCGGTGAAGGAGTCAACGACTTTTTCAGCACGGCTCTGTTCTCTTCCCTATCTCTCTCTCTCTCTCTCTCTTTCTGCTGAGTCGTTGTTATGTCGCGAATATATTTCCGCTTCCCTTTATTTCCCGTATCATTTTTACGTAATCGTATCGCAGAGTCCTTTCGATTTCAGTCCGGCGGTCGTATCATATCGCGTAACAATACGTTCCATCGTCGCGTCACCGTCGTTACACACACGACACGATCCTCCGTCGTCAGCGGAATGCAAAGTGTGCTGCGAGTATAATCTTTTGGATGTTATGTGCCGCTCGTACACACAAAAATCTCGCTTGTGTGTCGAAGGACTTGGCGATAATGCTAAGACTAAGTGCGAGGACGCTCCGGTCGATTTGGACTTGCGTCCACGCGCTTGATAGATTAGAAGGTTATTTTAATTATAAAAAAAAGAAATGTGTGGCGACGTCCAGGTGGTGTACTTCCGCTCGGCGGCTGTCAGCTCCGTGCCGACGCCGAGAGGAAAGCGCACAGTTGATCTCACGAAAATTGTAGTAATTTTCGGCGCCAAATTTTCTTATCGTTCTCAAGCAAATTAATTAATTTTGTCGTTACAATATCACAGTGATATAAATTGTTATAATCACGGGAGGGAGGGGGCAAGAGAGATAAAATTCTCAACTGACCATTTCACCGTGCACTGAAAGGAGGATTTGGTGTAATAAGTGCTCAAATTTGGTGAATATTTGCCGACTAAATATTTGATTATTACAATTGAATAATTTAGTTCCATATACAGTAAATATACAATACATATACAGTACGTGAAATTAAATTATTTGGTTGCGATAATCAAACGTTTGGTCGGCGAATATTCGCTAAATTTTCGTACTTATTATCAAATTCCTTATTTCAGTGTGCGTGCAGTCACACTTGCAAATTATTTTTCTCAGATCGAGTGACCCAACGCTGAACCTACTACGTATTCCCTGAACGCGCTTAATCAGAAGCGAATTACGATGAGAGGCGAGTAAGAAGACAACGCCGGTTGTCCTAATTTTCGCGTCTTTTTCATTCCTCGCCTCTTACGATCCTCGGCGTTAATCCTGCCGATTATCCCGCCGGCAGTTAACAAGACACTGCGATCGTCTATACGCCAACGTAACCCGCACAGCAGCGGTCATTGTCAAGGACGCCTTGCGTGTACCTTGCATAATATACCTCGTACTTATATGAATGCACCGAATCGCCTCGCTGCACGCAAACGACTTGCCGCGCATTCAGTTGGCCTCGCTTGTTTCTACCGTTCTTAAGCCTGTATCAAGCTACGTATTGGAGATCGAAGATTGCTAATTGAAGATCGAAGGAACTGGGACCCGATCGGCAATGAGGCGAGCCGAGATCGATTAATCGATTTGCCCATTTCTGATTCCCAACTAGCAATCTCTGATCTCCGATGCAGGGTGTTGAAAAATTAGACAATCGACGAACTTTGAAGTGAAATACGGGGCTTCAAAGTAAACATTTTTTTGTCAATACTATTTTTATCCACGTTTTGCTTTAACACTATGTATGGTGTAAAATAGAAGTTTCGTGACTTTCACAATAAACAAACGTATAAATAGGAAAATCAAATTATATTTTAATCTTGAAAAAAAAAATGCTACATTCTAAAGTCTTGAACAAAAAAAAGATATTCTGAATCTGTCGCAGCATTTATCCGGACTAACAAGTCTGCTTCTGTTTCAGTGTGAATTTAATAAATGAGAGTTTTGGTATGCTCCTATAAGAAAAAATCTATCGAAGATAAATTCAGGGATCGTCATGCGATGGGACCACCTCGGCTTATCCAGCGCTCATTAAATTTTTGATCCCAGTGATTGCGCACAGTAGCACTGAAATAGGCAGGTGCTCCATCGTGTTGGAATTTGTCTTCTTGTGATAAGTGGCACAAATGAACTTCTATAAGTTCTGGCTAAAAATAATGCCATAACACAAAAAACTTGTTCTGCATGTCATTTATCATTTATGACGTTATAAACCAGTATGACTGCGGCGAGATAGCCGAGCCTTAATGGAGGAAATTGATTTTTTCACATAGTTTATCTGTACCAGTATTAAAAAACGTCGCAGAGAAAAATAGTAGTAACAAAAAAGGTTCATTTTGAAGCCCTCTACTTCCCTTCAAAGCTTGTCGGGCTAATTTTTTAACATCTGTTTACTGCAAAAATATAATATACGGAATNATATATATGTATGTATGTATACACTATGTAATATTACATTATTTGGTTGTAACAATCAAATTTTTTGATCGGCAAATATTCATCAAATTTTAGTACTTATTATCAAATCCTTTTTTCGGTGAAATTTCGCCAAGTAAATGTTTCTTGTGGGGTCTCGGCACAAGTAAATTTTTAAGTCTTTTTTCTCAATGTTTCCTCCCCCCAGTGAAAGTCGATTTTCCTAGACGGAGCTGAATTCCAAACTGCAACGGAACATAACCGAACATCGTCGGTGCCCAAACAGCGCGTTGTTGCTTCACACGCGTATAATTCATGTTGTTAAGCCCGCTGAAAATTCAGAACAAGCCAATTACACTCCATTACGTCGGTACGTCGACGTATCGGGGTTTAACGACGCAACACTCACTTTCCAATCCTCCACCGCCGGCCGGATTGACTTCGACCGACGCTTCCGCGTCGTCTTTCATCCCAAATCGTCGCCCACTAAAACTAATGACTTGGCTGAATGCTCGACTAACTCCCGGCGAAAGTTTTCGTCGGGAGTGCGGTCGCACATAGCTGCACACTTTTCAGTTCGCGCGTCCCGTCGCACCCGCGAGGTGAGTTCGCAACGGTGTCGTCGTCGACGAGTTGGTGCCGAGGTACCTTATAATAAGAGTATGGCCGCCGTATGTCTGATTTCCGACTGCGCTTCGCCAATCAGAATTGTTTGGCTCAGATTACGATTAGTGTCAAACGCGGGGAAAACCAAATTTTGCTAGAATAATAAGAAGTGAGGCACAAGTGTGATTGTATAAATATAATTTAATATATAAATGTCGTTATATATCATCCATTATCCTTTTCTCTACCAAAACCACGCGAAATGAGCACACGATGACAACAAATAACGACGTAACTTGCGTCGACTTGTGCCTCTTGCTGAAAAGCAGCCAAAATTATCAGCTGGGTGACCAAGCAAGCGAAGGTTTGTCACTTACGAAGTCTACGAAGTATCTTAAGAAAAAGTGAGTTTTGCTTTGCATTGTGATTAATTATTAGTTCATTCTGGTTCGCATCTATTTTCGTAGTGGTCGAACATTGAGCATATCGTGGCCGCAATCGTGTTCCACCGAAACATGACGGGGATGGCCAATAGTATTATTTATAGATACTTTACTTGATGACGTTATTGATAAAATTATGACGCAAAAAGTAAGTTTAAGCAGGATCGCGAGAAGTTGCGAGTAAGTGTCGATGAGGGAGACACGTGTCGCGTTGATTGAAATTAATCTCGGTCAATTAATATCAATTTTTACTGACCGGCGAGTGCAATCACGTTAGCCGTGTCAATCGCCAGTGGATTCATCGATCGATGAAACGGGATCCTGAAGCTATCGGTTGCCGAGGACACGCTTGTAAATTCAGCGATATGTGTGTCCAATTATAATAGTCGATAACTCCATGCACCTATTGAAAAGGAATTATCGCGCTCGCGTTATTAGAAAGTTAGTATCGCCGGTCGCTGCATGCGCACGTACGTATGTGAATATGAAATCTAATAATTATACGCTTATTTATTAT